AATAGAAATTAAAACTAGATAATGCACCATTTCTCACTCATCTCCAAAATGTCGAGAATATACCATAGGGTTGCCAAGGTTGAGGGAAAAGACATTCTCACATGGTGCTGATGGTTAGACAAAACTACATACCAAGCCGGGAGTGGGAGGTGTGTGTGTGGCGGGGGGGGGGGGGGGATTAGCAACTAAACACCACTAGAAATCCATCTGCCAGACTGCCTACCTAGAACCCCAGCACTCAGGATGAGGCAGTATTGTAAGTTCAAGGCCAGCCTGAACTACTCAGAAAGAAGGGATGAGGGAGGGAGGGAAAAGAAAACAAGAGGGAGGAAGAACTCTTTCAGAAACCACCAACTACAGGACCAAAAACGCAGAGAGGAATGTCCACAGTCCTCCTGCTAGGACACTTGACAGTCTCCAGAGCACAGGGGTGGCCACAAGGTACACACAGGGACTCCATTCTGTTGGAAAGCACTTCCCAGATACAAGCAGCTGAAGCTAAAGCAATGAGTGTGTCTGGTGTGCTCCGCTTATTTAAGGCAGGGGACCCTAGAACAATCTAGATTTGCTTATTTTTTTTAATAGAATAAGCAAAAAGCTTGGAGAATATTCTTAATTCACTATGCAAATATAACTACAGGGAGAGACAGAAATTTAAAACAATAACCACAAATTGGTGGTTAAAAGACAAAGCCTGTGTGCCAGAAGCAAAATACTAAAAACTAAAAAAATAAAACAAGGCTGAGATATGTTGTAAGGCCAGAACTACAGTGGACCTGAAGTTGTTTTCCATGATCTCTTCAGTGGCTGGCATGGAACGGCCATATCACTGCAAGAAAAGTGGGCGTGCACAGCCAGCTGGGCCAAACAAGCAAACACGAGCACTCAGACCTCTGACAGGACTGCAAGGGCACTACTGAGATTAGGCCGTTTGCCTTGCCCCAAGTTATTCCACACCGTGTGAAACAGTATTTTTTCAGATTAGTCTGTCCTTTGTTATTCCACTTTACAAGCAGCATTTGACTCCAACTTGAGAGTAGATGCAGAAGCAGGATGTGCACATAAGCACCTTCCATCTGGCACCATACCACCCGCAAGACACATACTGATTAATTTATCTAGCCTGCTTTAGTTACTTTTCTATTGTTCTGACAAAACACTATGACCACAGAAACTTATGGAACAGAGTGTTTAATTGGGCTTATATTTCAGGGGATTAGAATCCATGATGTCACAGAATAACCATGTTAGCAGAAACAGCTGGGAGCTCACATCTTGATCTACAACTAGGAGCCAGAAATGGATAACTGGGAATGGCTTGGGCTTTTAAACCTCAAAGCCTGCTCCCAGTAAAACACCCCCTCCAAAAAGTTCAACTAACCCAGGATCAAATATTCAAACCTATGAGCCTATGGGACAATTCTCAATCAAGCTACCAAAAATACCACTTAACAAAGTAGACTGGGAGCACATGAGCACATGGGAGCACTAGACACACCAGGAAAGCTAGGCCTGAGAACTGATTGCGCACACCAAAGGAAAGGGGTTAACACTTAGCACTGTAACGGATGGCAACAACCCCACCAGCCTGCACACCAGGGACCAACAGAGAATGCCCAACTATCTCAGGGGCTTGGCTCAGTCCTCACCGCTAATGAAGCCTATTTGAACTGCCATCCCACCACCTGTCTGTCTGTCTAGACCTGAACAGGATCATCTCAGTGTCTGTCCTTACAGTTTAATAAAGATGGGCAGATACTCACATGGAGTCACTAACATGAGACAGAAAGAGACCAGAGTCATGTAGTTCTGGGAGGTGGGAGCCTGGGTTCCAGAATTGGAAAGGAGTCAGAGACTAACAATTTCAGAAACTCTCAAAGATACTCTAGGAGTAATGGTGAGACAGACCCAAACCAGTCTGTGAAGAAGTCAGATAACTTAGCAAGACATAAAGTGTCATTGTGTACAAAAAAAAAAAAAAAAAAAAAAAAAAACAGATCAGATGTCAGGGTAGCCATTTCCCCAGCAAAGATTCGAGAATGGTGAGGCGTGCAACAGCAAACATCAAGCTGTATAAAGCCAAGGCACTGGAGTCACTACCCACACCCAGAAAAGTGTGCCGGGTAATGTAAGCCAAATCTACAGAGTAGCCAGCCCATAACCAGCAGCATGCATTGGGCAGTATAAACCAAACGAGTCACTGCTCCACACCCAGCAGGATGCAGTATACACCCAGGCAGCAGTATGCATTGGGAAGTATAATCAAAGCCACAGGCAGTCACCCCGTATCTAGCAGCAGCAAGCATACGCCAGCATAACCATGGCAATGTTATTTGGAGGATGTGAAGGTAACTGAGAGTACCAAATTTTGCAATTAGTGTGAAAGCAGTCTTGGGAACATAGTATCCAGGTCTCCTGGATTCTACATTCCTCACCATGCAGTATCTGAGGGGCGAGTGGCACAATGCCTGGGTCTACATGGATGACTGGATTCTTGCTGTTGGACACAGTCGGAAGCCTGTGTCCAGGTTTCCATTAACCTTGTTCCTACAAAGAAACTTTTCCTGGTAAAATAAAACACCACAGGTGCTTCAGATGTTAACAGCAATATTAAAATTTATTTTTTATTCCTATATACTTGTTTTTTAAAGCATGTGTCTGTATACCACATATGTGTAGTTCCAGAATACCCTGGAACTGGAGTTACATGTGGCTAAGAGCTACCCACTGCGAGTTCAAAAAAGCAAACTCAGGCGTTCTAAAAGAACAAGTGTTCTTAACTGCTAAGCCATTTAATAACAGTAAATTGACTGTAACACATAAAGGATGAATCAAATTTCCCTTAAAAGTTCAATGAGAGAAAAAATATATACCCTCTATGCTACTTTAAAGTGTAATGCAAACATTTCTTGAGCCATTGGTGGTTTATTCACGCATTAGCAATGGGACAATCTGAGGAAAATACAAGCTGAAAATGAGAGCCTGAAAATTACGTGGCACGAAGCAGACCTCTCAGCAGGAAGTCACAGTGATATTTGTATTAACACTTACATTTCTATCTTTCCAAGAATAGAAGGAATGTTGAAAATTTCATTTATTCCAAATCTTTAATCTAACTACTACAGGCACAGAACGTACTCAAATCTGGGATGTTCTCCAACAGATAGATAAGCAACAGCATTAACTAAATTGTGTTTCAAAGTGCCTAGAGATTTTCTTAGATTATCAAATGCTTAGTGGCCACAAGTTTAACAACTTGTATTAGTTGACACTAAATAAAATTACTCTGCCACAAGTCCACCTACTTTTTTTGCTTGTTTTTTTTTTAATGTGTTTTTTTATATGAGCAAGAGAAAACATCTGCATAAGGTTTATTTAGGGATATATATAAAACCCCATTTTTAAGGTTATGTTATAGTTGATATACTAAAAAAAAAAAACTAGTAACCAACTTCTTCAGCTCAGTTAAATGCCATGTCTTTTATTATTTTAAAAAGTCCTTAAAAGTATTAAAACCTGATGAGGAATAAAAGGAGGACAAACAAAAACAAGGAGAGGAAAAGTCTTAAGCAGTGTGGTGGGGTATCATCAATGGCTTCTCATTTATTTGGCCACTGGCAAGTGTAAAAATATTATAACTTGTTCAGTTGTCTGTGGTCTTTTGTGTGTCTGCATTCCATTCAGATAAGGCTGTCTTCTTGTGGTAGTTCCTGTCTCAGTAATCTCAAAGCCAACTTCCTGGAGAATCTCTCACTCGATGATGATCTGGTCATGTTGTCAAAAGTGCCACATTTCTCACAGAAGTTTAGGACATGGTTTAACACTGGTTTCTATTCCTAGTCATCAGTAAGTTGAAAGACATGCTATGTCATGATGCAAAGTCTTCTTATTCTGCAGATCTTCTCCCAGCAGCACACCACACTTGTGCTTTATCATTAAAACAGTAAGTTTTGTTAGTTTGCCAACTTAAGCATATCCTTGCTGAATCTGTCACAAGTTGACTGGAAGGCAAACTGGTTCAATTTCTGCAACAGTCTAATAGTGTATGGTGTCACAGTTCTCAGCTTGATCTGGCTATCTCATCTTTACCACCTGCTGAGGCCATCCACCATCACCAATGCAGTAATCCCTGAGCTCCCTATGCTGAGTTCAGGCCACTCGACCCTGTTTGCCAGAGTCTTTGCTGAGGCAAGTGTATTGAGGGGTGACAGAGGCTATAGAAGCCTAGTATTGTCCTGAGGTAGAGAGGATCCTTCTACCACGGTGTTGGTGCCATTGCTTTTCCACATGTGCTCAAGGGACCACTTGCTAGCATTTTAAATGAATGACACAAAACTGTTGTCACTGCCTATTCGTGGTTGCCATATTATACAAATGTCAATTTAAAACCAGATCCTTCTTCTCTTTCATATCATTAACCCATTATTTGTTGTTGTTCTTGTGTTTGGAAACAGGGTTTCTCTGTATAGCCTTGGCTGTCCTGGAACTCACTGTGTAGATCAGGCTGGCCCCAAACTCAGAGATCCTTCTGCTTCTGCAGGCACCTCTCCAGGTGCTGGAATTAAGAGAATGCATAACCACTGCCCAGCTATTAACCCATTATTTATATGGGCTTGGACAAGCATTTAACTCTTGAGTTCTCTGCTTAGTCTTCTATAATCATCAAACAAAAGACCAGTGTCTCTGCCATAGACCTGCGGAGGAAAAGCAGGGCGAATTGAGCATTGAGCAACATTCTACCGTGGTCTTAAGATACGACAGTCATTTCTAGGTAGCAACTCATTCCTGGCACAGGCCTTCCTCAATTCACTTTCCACTGTCGCAGGCGTTTTTGAACCTTATTTCTGCTCTATCCCCGATTACGTATAGTACACAGCAACACTCAACGAGAAGTCTTCTCTGATCTGATAATGACCTTTAATGGAGTAGGATTGCTGGTTCAGATGTAAAACTTAGGCACCTCACGAGTGCGACAGAGCAGACACTTCATATCAATGCTGTATATTTGTGTATTTATTACAACTGTACAACAGATGGCAGTGAAGTAAAATGTCTTGGCAAAGTGATTCTTTTCAGCATTTGAGGAAAGGTTCTGTGTGGGCTAATGGTAGCCCTGCTGAAAGTTCAAAGAGAAATCTGTTCCAGCGAAAATTTATAACAATAAATAGTAGGTAAGTTATAAGCCACCGAACTCAAGAGCTGGCCAAGGCCACAGTTTCCATATGAGCTGCCAGGGCTTCTGGAAAGAGTGCGAGCTGCTTGCCAGTCTTTCTCCCACACATCTTTGCCACTCTCCATGACTGGCAGCTGATTGAAGGCACAGCGTGTGGAGTAGAGCACCAGTGCTCTACTACAGACTCAGGACTCCAGGCTTAGCCTGACCAAAGAAGAAAAAGCAAGAAAGATATACACACATTTCACTTTCATGAGTCTATTTCTACACACCCAAAGATGGTGGGGTTTTGTCATGAATTTAGAAACTCTCCCAAAGTTCTCATTGATGATTTGTACAAGAACCTGAAACAAGAAGAAAGACACAGATTCAGTTCCCTCAAACAAGCAGAGTTAAGAAATGGTATGTAAGCAGACACACTTGAAAACAGCCTGTGATCTACAAGCCTCTGACCTACACAGCAGAACACAGTCCCAGCCAAGCCCCAGCACCTATGGCAGAGCCCACATTCTGGGGCCCTGGTAACAGTGTCCGAACATAGACTCACCTGGCGGCATCCAGCTGGAAAAAGAATACTTTTATTAGTACTACTCTTTTCTGAACTCTACTCCCTCATTAAATCAAGTACACAGAAGCACAATGTGGCTTGTCTTACACAGCATTCAGTCCTGACTCTTCACTGCATATGAGAAAACAAGGAAAACAAAAACCATCCACCCATAGCACTGTACTCTGCTACTATGGCCATCCCTTCTACCTCCACTTTCCTGAGGCAGGTCTGCCTAAATACCCAGGCCTAGTGGTAGGAACACTGAAGCAGCCTCTCCCCTCCCTTCAGGGTGTCTACACAAGAACCACGGCCGGACCACTCCAATATAAATCACTGCAGCAACACTGCAGATTTAAACACATCCACCATCTGGAAAGTACAAGGTTCTGTTCTGTTCCCCTTGCTCCCTATCAGCTAACACTCCTGCTTGGCCCTGTCACATGTTTAGTCAGTCTGCCCCCAAACGTCCTCTCCCAAACTACTCCCAAAAGTTCTGCAGACAAAGAAACACTCTGTGACCATTCTCTTGTGGCCAGCACTGCAAGTGAGAAAACTGATGGCCAGTGTCCCCTGCTTGGTGTACTGACCACATGTCTAGAGTCTACCAGGGAAGACTGACATTTTAGATTTCGGAAAGTAACATTAACAGATAGGAATAAGCAAGAATCTCTTCAAACATCTCTTTAACCAAATGTATCCAGCACACATCAGCTGTCACTGACGGTCACTACTAATAGAACATACATTTCGGCATTGGCTATCACAACCCCAGCAGCCTCTGTAGTAGCAGCAAAAACCTAGAAAAGATTTAATATTTTCTCCTTTGCCATAGACTCAGGTATTTTATCTAGTCACATGTGTATTTAAGTAAACCTCCTGCAGAACCCCATGTCAGGAAGTCTTTGGACTCACCTCTTTCTTTGGCTTTGAAGGTTTCTTCAATTCCTAACACTGTGAGTGTTGACACCTCTGCAGTGTCTGGGGAACACCTATCTGCCTGAACTGCTCTTCCCAACCAAGGTAACTTTTTCCAAAGACTCACATTACCATCTACCTGTTTATTCACCATGTTCCTGAGTTCCAGGCTCTGGCTGTCCCCTGAGAGGGTACCCACATGTCATCAGCCTACCTCGGGTAAACACCTCATGGGGTCAGAACAGAGGGTGCAAGGATATCACGCAGGAGCAGTGGGTACCTGCTCTGCCTTGTGAATACCAGAAGTAGCCCAAAGCTCTCTTTAACTTCAAAGGTGGAAAAAGTGTCAACCCATATCAGCTCTTTAGGAGTTGGGACCTTTCTGCGGCTCACCTCAACAGTCTAGCACTGCTGACTCAGAGTCCCCTGCTCCACTCCAGACCTCCAGGGGAGACACAATGCCAGCTCAGGAGCTAGGGCTAAGACAGAGGGAAAGTAGTGCATGTTACCACCCCCCATCTCAATTAAAAGTATCACTGCCTGCTAAGTGGGAGGTAGAAGAGTTAGGCTATCCTCACAGCAGTGTGGCCCCTTCCTTCTCTATCGCCTTCAACAGCTCAGACGCTCGGATGCCAGGCTGCACAGGGCAGTCTGCCTCACAGACAGCCCTGGCATAACTGCTCCAATGCTACAGAGACCACTGAACCTACAACTAGTTCACTGTGTTCCCTGAGCAAAGCAGGAATACATTAGCCATCATATAACGGCAATTAAAGGGACAAAGTAAAGAGGACATACGATCTCAACATGGCAAGGAAAGTGGCAAAACCTCAGACAAAGAGACTTGTGAGTCTTGGGTCTAAATGTACATGTCATTAAACAAGTGACCCAGAGAGAATGTGACACCTCAGCTCTTGAGCATAAGCAGGGAGGACATATAGTCCTTCCGTCCTTGCAACACCACATGCCAGGAACATGGGACATGAGGACAGAAGAATATAATGTCAGAATTATTAAAAAGTAGGAGTACTTGTGAGTGAATTGCTTTCAATTATCTACACAAGTCCACTCAGGGCTGACAACAGGAACACTCCTAAGCAGGCTATAAAAGCATCCTGCTGCAGAATCACCCTTTAAAAGGACTACTAAAATTCCAGAGAGGAACAAATGAATTAATGCCTACTTTTCAATACTGATCAGTAAACCCTCCTAGACTCTCACAGCAAGGGCACTGGTAGCCCACATACAGTGTACTCAATTTTGGCAAGTTCTTGTATGCCATGGGATTACAGCCCATCAACTCACTAGTAAACATCTGTGATAGAACACAGACCTCAACATATTTCCATAACCTTGAATTACAAACACATTCTATCTTCTTCATACTGATGATGAAAGTGATAAATACAAAATGCTTGGTATTTCATTGCAACAGTGTGTTAGTAAATGTGTTTCTTAAGGTTTTCATGCTTTATGCCCAACTCAGCATATGCTAAAGCAAGGGAAGCAATTAAAGTACAATAGGAGCAACTTTATTCTGAATACAACATGCTAGCCAACAAAACACCAGAACTACTGGAGAGAAAACTGAGCCCCACCAAGCACGGGCATCTTCTCCTTAAAGAGAATGCTCTCCACTGGCAGTTGGTTCAGTAGAGAGGATAGCTGATGACAGAAAATTGTAGAAGCCATAGAGATGAACACAATGCATGTGTTTATGTTCAGGTCCTTTGATGAGGTAAGCGGGAGTAGAAGTAAAGGACACTAACAAGAAGGGCTTCCCTTTCATCTTCAGAATGGTCTGCACCACTCAACAAACAAGATTCTAGCAAAAACACGCTGACATATGCTGGGACTGTTGCTGCATTCCATGGAAACAACAATGCTAGCGTGTAGTCCCAATATCTGTCGGTCAATACAACTGGAATACTTTCCAAAATGCAATGGTTATCTTGTCATCTCTGCAGCAGGTTACAGGCCATAGACGTTCCCAGAACTGAGGTGACTTTCTTCCTAAAGTGTACAGTAGCAAAGTCCAACTGCACTAAACACCTTAGTAAATAGTCAACCGTTTAAAAGTATTTCCTTCACAACCTTCAAACTGACTCACACACTTGAGTGCTCTTATTGGGGTTGAATTGTCAGAGGAAGGAAACTTTTTCAGGAGACTCTGTCCATTCCTCTACTGAGCCACAGATAGGCTCAGGGCTCTAGCTTAGCACCATGGTTAGTGTTGGGCCAGCATGCATTGACATATCAGTATCACTCAGAGCCCCTAGCTTATATGAGGTTACATATTTGGTTTTTTATTTTCTGAGGGTGGTATAAGACCTAGAGTTAGGAAGCCAAAGAACCTAGGGTTTTGATATAGAAGAGATGAAGAATTGCCCTAGCTCCAGAAGAGAGTTCCTATATATAGGGTGAGGACTTAACCTTCTTAGTCCACTGTTTAAGCACCAATTTGTTCTACATACACCCTCTTAGACACACGAAGAAATAGTGCTGGGCTGGAGAGATGGCTTAGTGGTTAAGAGCATTGCCTGCTATTCCAGAGGTCCTGAGTTCAATTCCCAGCAACCACATGGTGGCTCACAACCATCTGTAATGAGGTCTGATGCCCTCTTCTGGCCTGCAGGCATATGCACAGAATATTGTATACATAATACATAAATAAATATTTAAAAAAAAAAGAAATGGTGCTGTACCAACTGTTTGGGCATCCCCTAACTAAACTGAAAAACAAAATTAACCTTCACTCTACTGAGAAATATCTCACTCATTTCCAAGTTCAAGGAGTTTGAATAAAGTTGCTCTTAATATTGTGCCGGCTATGTTCTTGTAAACTTGTCAAAAATCAGGTGTTCATAGGTTTGTAGATTAACATCAGGGTCTTCAGTTAAATTCCACTGGTCCACTTGTCTGTTTTTATGCCAATACCAAGCAGTTTTCATTACTATAGCTCTATAGTAGAACTTGAAGTCAGGGTTGGTGATACCTCCGGATGTTCCTTTCTTGTACAGAATTATTTTGGCTATCTTTTTTGTTTTGTTTTTCTATATGAAGTTGAGTATTGTTCTTTTGAGGTCTATGAAGAATTGTGTTGGGATTTTGGAGGGGATTGCATTGGATCTGTAGATTGCTTTTTTTTAGGTAAAATTGCCATTTTTATTATGTTGGTCCTACCTATCTAAGAGCATGGGAGAGCTCTCCATTTTCTGATATCTTCATTTTCTTTCTTCAAACACTTTAAGTTTTTTTTTTTTTTTTTTTTTTTTTTTTGAGACAGGGTTTCTCTGTGGTTTTGGAGCCTGTCCTGGAACTAGCTCTTGTAGACCAGGCTGGTCTTGAACTCACAGAGATCTGCCTGCCTCTGCCTCCTGAGTGCTGGGATTAAAGGCGTGCACCACCACCGCCCAGCTTTAAAGTTCTTTTCATACAGGTCTTTTTCACTTGTGTTTCACTTGTGTTACTCCAAGATATTTCATGTTATTTGTGGCTATTGTAAAGGGTGATGTTTCTCTTTGTATATAGAAAGACTACTGAGTTTTTTGAGTTGATCCTGTACCCTACCACATCACTGAAGGCGTTTATCAGTTATAGGATTTCCTTGGTACAAATATGGGGGCCACTTATGTATACTATCATATAATCTGCAGATAGCGAAAATTTAGCTTCTTTCTTTCCAATTTGTATCCCCTTGATCTCCTTTTGTTGTCTTACTGCTCTAGCTAAAACTTCGACTACTATGTTGAATAGATATGAAGAGAGTGGACAGTCTTGTCTTTTTCCTGATATTAGCATAATTGCTTTGAGTTTCTCTCCATTTAATTTGATGATGACTGTCAACTTAATATATATTATTTTTATTATGTTTAAGTATGTTCCTTGTATCTCTGGTCTCGCCAAGACCTTTTTCATGAAAGGGTGTTGGATTTTGTCAAGGCTTTTTCAGCATCTAATGAGATGATCATATGTCTTCAGTTTATATTGTGGATTACATTGATAGATTTTTGTATGTTGAACCATCCCTGCATATTTGGGATGAAGCCAACTTGATCATGGTGGATGATGTTTTTGATGTGTTCTTGGATTTGGTTTGCCAGTATTTAATTGAATATTTTTGCATCATGCAAATCTTCATGAGGGAGATTGGTCTGTAATTTTCTCTTAGTTGAGTCTTTGTGTTGTTTGGGTATCAGGGTAGCTGTAGCCCCATAAAAAGAGTTTGACAGTGTTTATTCTGTTTCTTTTGTGTGGAAGACTTTGAGAAGTATAGGTATTAGCTATTCTTTGAAGTTCTGGTAGAATTCTGCACTGAAACCATCCAGCCCTGGGTTTTTTTGAGTTGGGAGGCTTTTGGTGACTGTTTCTATTTCCTTGCAGGAAAGGACAGACCCCCCAAAACAAGGCTGTACACCTAAGAGTGTATTGCTGTGAGCACACAGCTCAACATCACTGTTTCATGTGACTGATATACCATGTAGTCACTTCTACATTCTAAGTGCATTCAAAGTATTGGCTTGTTATAAATGTTCAAACTACAACAGCACAGAAAACTACCAATTAATTGGCTAAGACTCTGATGACTGGGAAAAATAAAACTAATGTTTTAAAATTTTTAAATGAGTTGGAGAGCTAATTAAGTGGCAGAGTGTCTGTGTGTGTATATCTATATATATATATATATATATGTATATGCGTATACATTATATAACTATATGTATATAGGTATATATGTAGGAAGCAGTAAGTTCAATTCCCAGCATCACCAAAGTAAAAATAATTGAAATAAATTTCAAAAAAATAATTTTTTTATCATTTTTATGGATAGTTCCTAATTATGCTAACAAAGACCCAATTTGCTAAGAATACTAAAAATTAGAATAATGGGCTAGAAACGTATTCACTAATCCTTTCATTCACTATATCTTAATTGTCAAAATCATTTGTAAACCTAAATCCTAGTTAAGTAAGCATTTAGTATGTATGCCTATGCAACAAGTCCACATAAGCAACACTCCACAAATGTATATATAAAACAGCAATCTAGGATTATGAAAGGCTCTCTGCAAAGCAGAGGACAGCTTGCATGGACAGTATGCATGGTCTGCTTCCCACTAAGACTGCCTTGTGAAACGCCTGGAACAATTGATCTCTCCACTACAGGTATAAACAGCACAGTTGTCCTAGAGAGGAAAATGGCTCAGGAACATGCTTGTCAACAGCAGTATGAGAAACCAAAAATTTCCTAGGAAGAAAGAAAAGACAGGGCAAAACAATGCACAGGTTCCTCCATCTTGTATTTTTTTTCAGAGGCCATTTTAGGTTTAACTAGAATTTGATCTCCTCGATATGAAAGCCAGGAGGAAAATTAACTCTATTCTAGGAACCTAAGGTCAAGATGCCCCAGCTAACTTATCTTAGAGTCTGTTAAACTGCTTGTTTGTGCAGGACCTCCTTCTCCAGCTACCTGTTTATCTCAGCATCTGCTGAACTACTTGCTTGTGCAAAACCTCCTCCTGAAGCTGTGGAGGAAGATACCAGGATGTGGAAACCCCTTACTCTATGCGCTTGGTGCTACACTTGGGTCCCAAAAAACTGAGGATATTCCCAGGCAGTTGGAATGAAGACTTTCAATTGGCTAAAGACTGAGTCTGAGTCTGGGCACCCTATAATATCACGAAGGGCTAGGAATGAACCTTGCTTGACACTCTTAAGATGGACCTGCATTAATACTTGGAAAATACCTGTGGCTTTCAAATGAAGCAAATTAGCCAAAAACAATGTCTCATTTGAAAATTGTGAACTGGGGTAAATGTTCTTTCTTTTCTATAGCAAAATTTCACAAATGATTTTCTTTTGTTTTTGAAAAGCATTTGTACATCAGAAACATCTGTCTTAGTCACTGTTCTACTGACACAACAAAGCATCATTACCAAGGCAATTTATAAAAGCGAGCATTTAATTGACAGGGTCACAGTTCCAGAAGATTAGCGTTCACAATAGCAGGAACCACTGCAGCAAGCATGGTGCTGGAGCAGAAGCTGAGAGTTTACATATGATTCACATGCACAAGCAAAGACAGAGCTAACTAGAAGTGGCCTGGAATCTCAAAGCCCACCCCCCATAATATACTTCCTCCAATAAGGCCACACCTCCTAATCCTTTCCAAACAACTGGGTACCAAGCATTCAATCACATTAAGTATGGGGGCCATTCTCATTCAAATGACCATAATCTCCAACCTTACAACTGCTTCTAATCACCTGGCTCTAATGAACTGAATAAAAGAGCAATCCCAAACATACCCAGCTCTCGGTTGAGTAAGTCTCACATTTACCTTTCTAGACTATCCTCTTCCAAAGTGATCTCCATAAATGTCTTCAGCTTCCTGTTCACAGTCTCTACAACCTCCTTCAGCTTTGCACTTCTATGTTTACCTGTAAGAAGATTACATTGAAAAAAAAGGAGTTCTCACCATCTCACTATATGTAACATTCTCTGCTGTGCACATGTAGTCAGTTATCTGTGGTCTTGTTTCTCCCTAGTTAACCCTGGCTGACTGCAGGACAATTATCCCTTCCACAGAGATGCTGTGAGAGTACATCTGCTATGTGTGGAGAATCACCAGAAAAGAGTGACAACCAGCACAAATCAAATTCATCTATTGTAGTTTTATTTGTAGTTTAATAACTGAAGCTTGCCTGAAGATCAGAGAGTAAAACAGCCCCACTGATCAGCCTCACAGACCAGGCAGCAATGACACACACCTTTAATCCCACTAGCCACACTAGTTTGCCATAGGAACTGGGCAGTAGTAGTGCACACCTTTAATCCCAGACCTACAGGGGAATATAAAACGGGAGGAGACAGCTCTCAGACACAGTCTCATTCTGAGATTCCTAGAGGTAGGATCACCATTTCAGACTGAGCTCTTCTGACCATCAGGTTGAACCCCAATTATCTGTCTCTGGATTTTTATTAATCATGCTATATTCCACTGCAGGTATTCAGCACCTCACATACATGCTTACATCTCCTCAATGAGGTATGTTCTTTGCTCTGCAGAACACAAGTGCTCTGTGCCTCTAAATCAGGGGACATCCCTCAGACAAGCCTTTTACGATGCCCATACTGGGCCTGAAAACTTTTTAAAAGCATCCATAGACTGAGCACCTAATACCAAAAACTGTAATTTGCTATATTCTAAAATTCAAAACTTTTTGTCCTACTTATATGTGTTTCAGATTTTAAATTTTCAATTTGGGAATTCTCAAGCAGTATGTTTTATATAAATAGTATAAAATCTATAAACTCCCAAATTCTGAAGAAATTCTTTGTCCTAAACATGTAGGTGAAAAGTACTCAAGCTTTGTAAATCTTCACAGATTTGGTAGGCATAAGAGATCTTTACCTGCAAACTGCTAAAATTGAAAGACATTTTAACATCAGTAGAACTTAACCAAAAATATGGAGACTTGAATATAGTCAGTCAGCCTGCAAGGATGACACTGGACTTTACACTGAGCTGACATTTTGTAGGTATTGCCAAATATTTTCCCAGTACTACTTTCAAATTAGTTAAGTATTCAAGAAGCATGATGCCAACATGCCCACTGTTTAAAAAAATAAATTTTAGAAATAGTTTTGATACTGGATTTCACTAATATTGACCAAACTCCTAAGTTTGAACATTATTCACGCCTCAGCTTCCTGAGTAGCTGGGGCTACAGGGCTCGCCCAGATTTTTAAACATAAGTAACACTGGGCAAATCAAGAGAAATTCAATTCTGAGGTGTAGTGGTTCAGACCTGTAATCCCAGCAACTAGCAAGGCTAAGACAGGAAAACTCCAAGTTCAAGGCAAGTCTGGATTGCAGAGTGAGTTCATGGCCAACCTAGGTATGTCAGTCAGACCCTGCCTCAAAATTAAAGAGGGAGCTGGTTACATAGTTCAGTGATAGATCACTTATCAAGGCTATACAAGGCAAAAGGAAAGGGGAGGAAAAGGGGGAAAAGAGGAGGGGAGGGGAAAAGAGGGGAGGGAAGAATCAAGGGACCCAGTGATATTTACAGGCACCCAAGAGTGAAAGTAAAAGGCAGACAGGAGCTACAATACAGAACAGGTAAGCTCATGCAATGGCAAGGACAGTGTATTCAGAGAACACTAGGGAACAAGGGTGAAAAGGTTGTGGGAAGCCTCTTCTGTGCTGGCAGAGGAAAGGGTGAAACAGGTCAAATCCAAAACTTCTCTAACAGTAGCAACAAACAAGGACATAATCAGTAACATACAAGATGAAGGAGAAAAAAATGTAACCAACCTTTGTTAATAACCAAAATAATATGCAGAACAGCTGTGAGGCACACAATGCCTTCAATATCACCAGAGGTTACACAAGCCTTTAGTTCATCCAAAAATGACCTATGGAATCAGCAAACATTTGAAATTACTCCACATCCCAATACTTGATTAAAAAAAAAAATAATAAGCACAAGTGAGGTTTACCCACAATCATAAATACCACCTAAGGTCCTCCCCTTTATGTATTATACATGTCAGTTCTTACAGATGGAATGCTAAAACCAAATGGTATGCACAGGAGAACAGGAACATAAGAGATATTTAACAGACTGCTGAAAGGCAATCCACAGCCCTCGGAATGATGCAATGAAGCTTTCAAGGAATGTATTCACACCATTCAGTGCCACTGTGTTCAAAGTCTGAAAAACAAATCCCTCTCTATCTTCAGTCCCTTGTGGACTACTACAAACCCTAGAATCCTAGTCAAGTGAAATGCACGGAAGAACCAAGGGTTGTTTATGGGATAAAATTTGAATTCAGAAACTGTAGAAATAAAAACTTTGGTGTTACTGAAACAAATGATGCTGGTTAGCTGGGGCTGAAGCCTCTCGGCTGTGATTAGTAAGAGGTAAAATCTGGAAAGTACTTCCACAAGGTCAGCACATAGAAGATGAGTCTAACTGGGGGAGGGACGAGCTGGAGCAATGCTGCAACCCAAGCTAGTAGCCAAACTTGTTAATGTGTAAGAGTTTTCCACAGGATCTACTTCTGAAGGCATAAAGGGGTCACAGGAAGCAGCCAAAGCTTGGCACCTTATGGCCAAGTTGGAATCCCTGTATAGAGAGGCCAGGAGGACATTGGTGAAGGTGAAGTCTCAGCTACAACAGAGACTCAAGATACTAGAGATGCCAGGACCTTGGGGCAACCACCCAGGACAACAGCAGGTATAGCAGAAAGTTAGCCTGAAACTACTAGACATGTCCTTTGGAGCCCAGTACATCTTAAGTGAATTCCAGTTATATCAGATATTGAGCTACAAGATCTGGAACTAAACTGACAGGTTTTTGGTTTTGTTTAAGCATTATTGTTGTTATGTCCTGCCTCTTCCCTCTTGTAAAAACAAAAGCATTTAACTTGGTTTTTGTTGTTGTTGTTTTTCAGGTGCCCACAGTTAAAGAAATGTTACATGTTTTTGAAGAAAGAAACTGGACTTTCAAAGCGTTGAAAATTTTAAGTACCACGGAGTTTTGATGTTAACACTGGAACTTTCAAAGTCATACCATGTTTTATGTTGTGATATAAATGTGAAATCTTGGGGATAAACAAGAAAGAAAAAGTCATGGTTTAATAGTAGTGAGTGTGTGTCTGTCAAGCTTACAATGGGTCAATTTGTTACTAAGATTTTGACTTTTTTTGAAGTCTTATGGGAAGACAGGGCCTTAATTGACTGACTTGTGGAGATGCCTACAATACATTTTCTTTGGAGGGCCAAGACAACGTGGGTGGGTGGTACCACCCTTGCACAGATGGTCCTGAGTTGTATAAGAAAGCAAGTTAAGCAAGTCATGGAGAGCAGTGTTTCAAAATGGTCTGCTTTCAATCCTGCCATGGCTTTTCTCCATGATGGACTATAACCTGAAAACCAAATAAATCTTTTCCTCCTCAAGCTAATTTTGGTTAGTGTTAAAGCAACAGAGAATGTGGGGACCCAAAAATGTGAGCCTATTTTCCTTTGTGTGAAGGATAGAGAGTTTGAGCATATTTGTATATTTGTGCTCTTTCAAAGTTGCTGACAGCAGGTGTAGCTACAAAACAAGAGATCCTGACCTAGGCTGTGGTTACTTCGTGTTTTCAACATTAAGATGGCCAATAAAGGTGGGTCTACTCCACCCTGATCAAAGGTCAGAGAATTCAAACATACTTCTGCTTCTTTTGAAATAGGAGGTTTGAATTAAGGAGTGGATGCCTGAAGGATACTTGGTCTAGAGTGGGTTCACTACCCCAAACATCAAATGTTTTGCTCGGGAATTAAGGGCTTGATGTCTCAAGTACTGGAGCAAGTAACTGTTCTGGTTGTCCATTGTTAAAGCAGTCTTTCGCCTTCTTTCCCACCCCCCATTGTTTTGGAGTATAAAAGTCTATGGAAAATAAATATGGGCAAAATTCAGCTTTCAGTATTCTGAGTTGCCCTCCTGGTGCTCTCCTGTGTCTCTGTGTTTCTTTCTTATCTCTGTTCTTCCTACCTAACATTTCTAATCCTCACGTCCCTACCCTGGAACTACAAATCCACTGTGGCTAAGACGGCTAATGACAAGACAAGAAAACTAGAACACACAGTAAGAAGTATTTTTGTACACACATTTTTTCCCATTAGCAAAATTTGGCTGTGATAAACATAACTAAAAACTATTTAAATGTATACAACAGTTTATAGAAAGTAATGGTTCTGTATGAAAGTTTAACATAAGCAGTTCCATCACTCATAAAATGAAGAAAAAACATGGAATGCTTTTCACAAGTGGGTAAAAAATACCTTTGATAATTTGAGAGTAAAAAGTAATAGATCACAGGGCACTAAGAAAAAATACAGATAGGGTTGTACCAAGATCAAAGAGAGAAGACAATTACCTGACCACATCCAAAGACTTCATTATTACACCAACTAAACACCTTGAAAATGGAGGAAGGTCAGCAGGACATTGCGGTGTGGTCAGCTCTTCTATATCAGAAACCTAGGAAAGTTCCAAATCAGTATATTATCATTACCCCAGATTGACAGCTAGGTTCACATTGATCTGGGTTCTCTTATATCTGACCAAAGCAATTCAGAAATAACAAGCTTTATTCACTACAGTTAATTACAAATTTCTTTATTATATTCCACAAGAACATTTTACTCATTGTAACAGAAATAAAGGACATAAAACTTAGTAAGGCTTTAGTCAAATGGCCTTTATTTAACTTGATATCATCTATAAAAAAATATATTTTTTCCTAAGCCAACTTAACCAGTTCCTCTCAGCTCAGATTAGAATCTCAGTCTTAGACTGCTGGTGTTTTAGACTAAAGCAGTTCTCTATCTGTAAACTGAGATCCTTTTGCGGGTTCAAACAACCCTTTCAGAGGGGTCACCTAAGACCATCAGAAAACACATATTTTACATTACAATTCATAACAGCAACAAAACTGCAGTTATGAAGTAGCAATGAAATAATTTTATGGCTACAATACACGAAAAACGGCATTAAAGAGTCACTGCAGCAGGAAGGTGAGAAATTAAGTAAGATCCAGTCCACAGGAAGATAAACTCAACAGTAAAAGCGGAGCATGGCAACTCATGCTTGTGATCTCATGGGTCCCTGTCTTAAATGCTAATGTGAACACCTTAAGACCAAGCACATCCACAGCTTTAACATCAGGTGAGTTATAAGCACTCCCCATGAAAGGAAGACACTGTCAGACTGTTTTACAGAACTACTCATGTAGCACACTTACAACACCTTACTTGTAAAGACAGATCAGCAGTAAAAGCTAAATACAGAGGACCTGTGCACACATGCAGCTTAAGGGAGCCAGGCTGGCTACAAAGTTAACAATGTAGACTTCGTGAAGCAGATATCTTATAATAGGACAGTCGGAAATAAGACATTAAAAGAAGACAGTAATCTTAAATATGTATGCAACCCAACAAGAGAACTGACAAAAAAAAAGGTGAAAAAAAAAACCAGAACAATCTGTAGTCAAGGATACAGACTACAAGAAGACAGGCCAGTCAGCAATGTTCTGCAAAGAGGCAGAGCAGCATACAGAAAAGGGTCCGGGTTTGTCCAAAGGCTGCCAATGCTTTCTAACTTCAGCTACATGGCTTTCTGAAGTTAAGTCCTAATCCTAGGTTTATGCTATGTCACCTAGCAATTACTTTCGTAAACCAAATAATCTCTCTTTACACTTTGAAGGATAGCCATAAATCCTAATTAATATTTTAGAATTTAGTGAACATCTTTTGTCTTTTATACTACAAAATTTGTATAATTATAATAATTTCTCAGACTGGAGAAATAGCTCAGTGGTTAAGAGCACTTGTTTCTAGTACAGAGGACCCAGGTTCAGCTCCCAGCATCTACCTGGGATGTTCACAATCATCTGTTAACTCCAGTTCCAGGGAATCCAATGCCCTGTTTTGACCTCCACAAGCACCAGGCATGCACACTGGAACACACACACACACACACACACACACACACACACACACACGCAGGCAAACACTCATACACACAAAAACAAAGTAATATACACTTGACCATAAGCTGCATAGCCACGTGCTAACATTTTGGGAGCAAGGGATGGTGTATCTAACAATGTCCCAAAACGTTATGCTGAGTGTGCTGGCATCTGTATAGCCATACCCGGGCAGCACAGTGAGAATCTGCATCTTCACTTCTCAGAGTGCCCATGATCAAGCAGTACATGACCATCTCTAGATCATGCAATTCAGTGACAGCCCATCTTTTCATTCTGAGTAAACCCACTGCTACTTCTCTTCTTTACATCACTACCTATGTCCACAAGGGACATCTCCAAGCTGAAGAAGAAAAAGCATCCTGCATGTTCTCTATGTATAGTATCACTTTCTGTGTTAGCTCAAAGAGCAACAATGATCAGATCTGTAAAAAAATAGACTAAATAAATCTGTGTTCCATTCACCTTTAGCTATGATAGAAGAATAAGATACCAAAATTTCAATTTTCTAGAGCTAGAGGGAAGGCTTGACTGCTAAGAGAGCTTTCTTCTCTTACAGAGGACCCAGGTTCAGTCCCCAGAACCCACAAAGCAGCTGATAACAGCTTTGTAAATCCAGTTGTAGGGGACCCAATACCTTCTTCTGGCCTCTGTGGACACCAAGCATGCACGTGGCACACATACATACTCATGAAGGAAAATACTCATAATATAGTAAGTACATTTTTAAAACTTCAAGCTTCCTATAGTTAAGAAATGAAAAGAAAAAAGAAAAAGGCATGCAGAGATATGAACAATTGTACACCAGTTCAGTCTGGAACAGTCCTGCAATGTCTGCCCAAGTATCCTTGATTTCTTCAAAGAAGAATCTTTAGAAACTATCAATTCATTCAAAACTCCTAGCACCAGCAGACCATATCCGCATCATAGCACCGAGTTCCATCGCAGTCAGGAATGACAACAACCTTAGCATATGCTCCAGTTTCCACGTGGCTCTAGATGCCCAACCAGCTAAATGGCAAAGTACTGGAATTGGCAAACAGTCGTCACCAACAGTTTGCACTAGAAAACCTTAATCACGTACTGTAAGCAGGCACAGCACATGGGATAGTCAAGAGCATGGCAGTTTCATAATCAGTATAACTCACCTTTTGCAGTTGATGACTTATCTCAACCACAAGTGCAGCAATCAGAGTAGAAAGTATACCATGGTGGACTGCAGTGTCCCTGTACCAGGACTGAATAGTGCTGATAAATTCATGAAGAGGGGACTGCACAGAATGAAAGAGCTACAAGAAATCACATTAGTCATTGTCAGTACAGATAAAAAATCAGTTTTTAAAGAACAAGCATCAGGCCGGGCGGTGGTGGCGCACGCCTTTAATCCCAGCACTCGGGAGGCAGAGGCAGGAGGATCTCTGTGAGTTCGAGACCAGCCTGGTCTACAAAAGCTAGTTCCAGGACAGGCTCCAAAGCCACAGAGAAACCCTGTCTTGAAAAACCAAAAAAAAAAAAAAAGCATCAGGTGTGGCGGCTCACATCTGTATCTGAGGATGCACCAGGTGCAGCTGCTCACATCTGTATCTAAGGATGTACCAGGTGTGGCGGCTCACATCTCTATCTAAGGATGTACCAGGTGTGGCGGCTCACATCTCTATCTAAGGATGTACCAGGTGTGGCGGCTCACATCTCTATCTAAGGATGTACCAGGCTAAGTAAGGAGGACTGACATAAGTTTGAGGCCGGCCTGGGCTACCTTGGTGAGTTCTAGGCCAGTTTAAGCTAGAGATCTTGACTCAAAAAAAAAAAAAGCAATAAACAATAAAATGGCTGCTAGGCATGGAGGCACACACCTTGGGAGGCAGAGGCAGGCGAATTTCTGTGAGTACAAGGCCAGCCTGGTCTATATAGCAAGTTCAAGGACAATCAGAGCTCCATAGTAGAAAGAAGCTGTCTCAGAAATAACAACAAAAATAGAAGTATCAATAGTAAGGAGGGATAGAAAAAGGAAAGAAAGGCAATTATTAACATTAAAATAAAACCATCAGCTCAGGCAGTGTTTCTAAATGACACTACTTGACGGATGGTGGAAGACCTGGCAAAGAGTCTAAGACTGGGGATAAACTACATAAACAGATCATGGACACTTGAAACAACTATGAGCTGAGCTAGAAAAAACTGTGCCAATCATGTTTAGGTTATTTCCATCAGCTTAGTCTAGAATAAAATTGATACTCTTGGATATTTCATAAACAATCTCCCATTTAAACATTCTTAATTAAAACAATAATAGCTCACTGACAGAAAAAAAAAAATGGCTCTCTGCTAACAGTGTAACTGATTCAGGAACAGGTTTTACACTGTTTTAGGAACAGATCTAGTCCCTTTGATTTTTATGATCTAGTTGCTCAATCATCTCAGCCTATGAGCTTTCACCATCAACAGAAAACCACGGTCCCTTCAAGGTGCTTCTAAATCGGGACATTAACAGATGATGGGAGTGAGCATCCTCCCACGCAGTGACTGTCCCTTTGAAAATGAGCATCTTCACAAATATATTCTTTTCTGGGAAGCTCTGGAATCACAGCCCGCAGAGATCAGTTCCGTTTAGAGTCCTTACATCCATGGGACTTCAATCCCTGAGCTCAAGACTGCAGATCTGCATGCCACAAAGAATGCAGGCATGCTTACCTTTAGGGCTGCCGTGCAGCCACCACTCAATGCCCACAGCAGATAGCACAGTGAGACCTGGCCAGCTGAAGAACAATACCTGCAGACTTTCTTCTGGCTGTTTCCTGAAGGTCCAGGCAACACATTCCAACATTTTCTGAAATACTTCCTGCACTAAATCAAACAGCACCGTGACTTTTTCTGAATCTGTTTTCTGAATCATGGAGCTTCCAGCTATCTCCTTGAGAATGCCAAGAAGTAATGAAATGTAAAAAAATTCCTTCACTACAAAGAAAAGGAGAACAACCAATTACACATGCACATAATTCAACTGAAATTGCTTAACACATATAAATGATAGTAATGTAAGAACCTATTACTACTGAATTAGCACTAAACACGTTTACCAGATTGATCCAAACTAGAATCAAACACAAATTTCTTTTCTCCACCTAACTAAAAAATTGACTTCTTCCCCAGCAGCAGTAGTACAGCTGACTCTGCAGGTAAACAAAGAACTTTGTTCACTGCATGTATGTCTCCTATAAAACCTGAATTAGAAAACACAAACTTTTTCTTATATTTTACTAAAGTAAAAACCCAACAAGGACAAGTCCAACCTCACAGCTCCCAACATCATTTGATAACGTTATAGATTTCTGATACCTGGTTGTAGCTTATTGATTTCCTTTGGTGGTTTTTTTTTTTTTTTCCAATTACCTCCCTGACTGAGAGTACATAATGTCGTAAAAATTCATTCTATATATAAGCCTAATAAAACTATTCCTCCATTTTTATTTCCAATCAATCTTGCCAGTAAAAGCTACAAAAGCAGAGACAGGCCTGTCCCCAGTAATCCTCAAGGGCACCCCATGTCACCCTGCTCCACTCTATCTGGTTAGCCCTTAACTTTTGGGTACTACACAGCAAGCCGCCTGGCAGAACCCATGGTACAAAACACATTAAAATAAAACAAGTATGCAATAAAGCACAGAAATGATGCTCCTCATAGACAGTCCATTAACCAGGTGACCACAGGACTTGCCCAGAGAATGGGCCTGGATATGAAGGGTAAAGCCATTCAGCTACAAGATTAACTAAAGATCCAGCAAGCTCTGCTAGAGACCACAGCCAACTACACCCCAAACCTTCCTGCTAAGGGATGACAGACTTCCCATCCCAGAGGCTCTATCAATCCTTCTGAGGTCTAAGACTCACCACACAGAAACTTAAGGAGCTACTACCCTTTCATTCAGAGATGGAAAAACTCATTCCTTATATACACATTCGTCATGTGGAATGTCCACTGATGAGACAGGTGTTGAGCTCTTCAAACCCAGATACTGCTGACTACACCCTGGCGGATGTTTTGAGGTGGGAACCTATACATCTACTGGCAACCTATACAAGGGACTTGCCAGCTTGTTCTCTCTCACCTAGCTAGCAGGTCCATTCCTCATTGGCATTAGAACCTACTTCAGGATTCCAGCTTATACTGAAGTCAGCTGAGATATCAAGCTTCGTGTACTGAACAACTTCTGGATTCTTAGACCTTCAACTGGCAGACAGCCAATGTTGGATTAGCTGGACCACAGTCTGAAAGCCATTGTAATAAATCCCCTTTATAAGTTTAGATTTATTCTCTAAGTTCTGTTCCTCTAGAGAACCCTAACTAATACACAGACAAAGGAGCTGTCTCCTTATATTCTTCCTCAGAATGTGTAGTCTCAGTAACATGGAAAGAAACCTGGAAAAGCTGAAAACTTTAACCATACGTTATTTCACTGTATTCAGGTGTGTGTGTTTTATGAACCAAATATGCAACATACTAGCTAGCAAGCAACAAACTGCTAACAACAGGCCAGGATCACAGCTACAGCCAAAACCGGTGCTGATCTACAGTCTTGCTAAGAGTCCTCCCCAGTGCACAGCTCAAAGTCAGAAAACAAGCCATCAATCTGAAACTAAAGTAGTGCTGGCTCTGTGGCTCTCCCCAGTATGCACATCTTTAGGTTGTCAAGTCCCTGCCAACAAACAAACAGCAGCAAGGACAGCAAAAGATAGAGGCAGCCTCACACATAAGCTGTGGGGCGACCTCCTGCACTGTCTCCAAACTGTACACGACAGCCTTGGTTTCTAAGATGCTAAAATCCCAGCTGTCGCACACAACTCTTTATCAATGGCCCTTTTTCTCCAAAGCTTTAGATTTCCTATAATCTTCACGTTGCTTTTATTTCTCTTTCAAATATAACCCTATAGTCTTTACTTTTAAAAAAATCAACATTTCTTTTTAAATGAGCTGGTATTTTTCAGTAAGAACTCTCCCAAAGCTCTGTTATGTTTGGAGCCTGATTTTCCACAATCTATGTACTATATTGTAGTGGGAATTCCAGAAGTTTGTGGGCTTACACCCCTAATTTATCTGGTTGATGCAGTTGGCCACCCAACTGTGTCCTAGAAATGGCTTCTTTAGAATATGCATTTGGGTTTATAAAGAATACCCTACCTGGATATAATATCAACACAATGCGGTGGTCTGAATGAGAATGGTCCCCATGGGTTTTTTATATTTGAATACTTGGAAACATTAGAAAGTGTCAGTTCATTGGAGGAGGTGTGTTCCAGGGGCAAGCATTGATGTTTCAGAACCCATGTCATTTCCAATGAGCTGTCCCTTTTTCTGCTTGGTGGCTGTGTGTCAAGATATAAGTTCTCAGCTACAACTTCTGCCCCACACTTGTCCACCTGCTGCCATGCTACCTGCCAATATGCTCTTATTTTCTATAAGTTGCCTTGGTCATGGCATCTTATCAGAGCAATAGAAAAGTAAATAAGACACATAAATAGCTTCTGAAAATGGTTTCTTCACTGATCCCCTTTCAAGTAGAGCAAAAGAGTTTTAGAAAGTAGACTCCAGTCTCAGTTTGCTAACCTCTAATGCATCCTTGCAAGCACCACAGAAGAAGAGTCGCACTGCGGTATGGGGATGAGTCCTACAGACCCTAGTCACTGGACATGCAAACACAAAGCTCATTCCAGTCTGGACACCTGATCAAAAGGGACTGGGTACCACTATGTAATGAAATGGACTAAATGGAAAGAAAATTCTGATTAGCTCTATGATTTTTAAACTTTATAAATAATTAAAAGTAGATTCAGCCTTAAAGCAAAATAATTCCTAAGTGATAAATCAAGTGTGAAAAAATCATTTTATTTCAACAATTAAGCTTATGTATAGAATGTAGTTTTTAAACTACAGAGAATGATTTAAAAAAAAAAGTTCAAGACTTTGAATAATTCTACAACTTTAGAATTTGTGAACCAATACAGTATCTTGTTATATCTGAAATCATCAACTAGTGTCCAGCAGCACAGGAAGGGTAGGACTCCACTCAGGCCTGCCTGGAATGCGTCCAAGCTGCATCACTGACCACAACGGCTAATCTGTGGTGTAGGAGGTCCTTCTGTCTATGTGTTGCTTTCATTGGTTAATAAAGGAACTGCTTTGGGTCTATAGCAAAGCTATAGGGGAAAAGAGCTAGGTGGGGGAAACTAAACAGAATGTTGGGAAGAAGATGAGGAGAGGAACACCATAGAGTCACCAGAGACAGATGCTGTGAATTTTACCTAGTAAGCCACTGCCACTGCCACGTGGCGATATACAGATTACTAGAAATAGATTACATTTAGATGTAAGAGTTAGCCAATAAGAAGCTAGAGCTAATGGGCCAAGCAGTGATTTAATTAATATAGTTTCTGTGTGATTATTTTTGGGTGTAAGCTAGCCGGTGGCCGAGAAGAACAAGCGGCCCTCCTCCTACAAATCTGGACCAACTAAACATGCTAAACTGCATTTAATGAAGGAAAGTCTCTCTCAGTAAACTAGTGGGCTTTAAAAAATGAAAATTTAAATTGTGGACAGATATTTCCATTTAGCTCAGTAATTGGGATGTACAGTAAAAACCACTACTAATCTTCCACACCACAGAGGCAGGGTATCTGGAAGATGAGATCAGAGCTCAGTAGTGTTCTCTTTGTCATACACTGTACCAGAAGGCATCACTGGCTCTGGTTCTGGGTGTGCCCCCTCCTGACCACATCACTCACAACCTTCTTCTGGGAGAGTCTCTACACAGATGCCAGGTGGAAAACTCTACACACCAGCAAGGCAGACCCAGGTAGCAGAACCCCAAGGACCCTAGAAACTAACAGTGTGCCTGACATCATAAGCATCTCTGAAATTGCTAGGTGTATTACAGCCAAAAAAACAACTTTTTGGCAAAGGCCCATGTGTTACATGTGAATGCCTGGAAGACAGATTCTGATCTTCAGAAGAAGGGAGTGAGGGATGGAAGGATGGAAAAGCAGTATGTACATATTGTTTCCAAACATCCCTTTAATGAGTAAACGATGCTACAGTACCTGTTTTCATTATTCCGAGACTCCACTGTAAAAGCTGTATCTGAAATTTAGTGTCTCCAAGGCCCACCATGACAACATCTTTACCCACAGCCAGGTAAGTCTGTAAGACACAACATGGGTTCAATAACAACAAAAGCCATTTAAAAAGGAAGGCAGTCAAGCCCAACAAAGCCTCTCCTGCAATGTACTAATATAAGCAAATGTTTAAACTGTATTTATAAAGAACTTCCATAAATACATACATTTTCATTGTTTCTATAAGAATTCTAGACATTTTAAGCAATTCACCAACCTAAACAAATACCCATCACATATAACATATTAAACTACATTAAAATTATGCATAATGTGCTTTGTAAAAAGAAATGCCATTCTCTGTATTATGAAGCAGCACTAGGGTCTAAACCACTTTACAACAAAATAAACAGTCCTGAAAATACAGCATGAACTGTGTCCCAGCTGCTGACCTGGATAACCTGCTGATAGACGTTCCTCCGAAGCTTCAGAAACTCCTCTTCTTGGTCTTGAAGAAGAGGCAAAACTTTGTTTTCTAACCAAGATCCGGTTTCATTCAAGATGGACAGATGAATTTTCTCTTCTGAGAACTGTCCAACAAAAGAAAAAAAAAAAGAAAAGCAGCTTTCACTCGGGAGGAGGCAGGTGGATCTCTGGGAGTTCAAGGCCAGCCTGATCTACAGAGCTAGTTCCAGGACAGGCTCCAAAGCCACAGAAAAACCCAGTCGCAAAAGAGAAAAAGAAAGAAAAGCAGCTTTGATACAGGATACTCAGAGCACCAGGAGAGACACCATACCTTGTACTGAAGATGGACACTCAGTCGACAATGTAGACCAAAGGCATGCGATGCAGCTTCTTTGTTGAAGTTGAGGGGATTCCCACTTGGAGACTGAAGAAAAAATTCCAGATCTGCCTGCAAAATTACAACCAAGGACCCACATTCTGAATGGCATGTGACCACATCAAAGCAAGGTGGAGAAAGTGCCTGATCTATAGGAAACTAGAAGGATACGGCACCTGAACACTATCTGCTGAGTGGGCTTTGGAAGCACATAACACAGTTAACAGGTACACAAGGCCATGGGACCACTGCCCACAGGGACTACAGTTTGTTTCCTCTGGGCAGGCTTAACTGAACCACTATCCTACGTGGCAGCCATGGGGACTACTCGGTAGAGAATCCTATAGGGCCAGTGCAGCAGGGGAAAAACAGGTTTCCAAAGGGCCCTTGGGGCACAATAAAATCATAGCACACACTTTCCAAGATTTTCCGAAGACTCTGAAGAGAGCTAGTACTTCCTCACTGATGCCGGGTCCTGGGCAGCCTATTCTCAGATAAGGGGAGACAAACTGGAGCCCTGACAAGCTAGAAACTGTGGAGAAATGTAGGCTCTAAACACTGCTTGTGAGGAGACAGGTCCTGGAAATGGCATTACTCCCGGGCTTACCTGTTCACCTCAGAGTTCTTCTCAATTCCTTTCCAAAGCATGAAAACTATACATCTTACTGCATCACTGCTACTACTATTTGAAGTCACTTTAAGTTCTAGGATAAATAGTTACCTTGGATCCTTCAAGTGCTTTTAAAAGCTGGTTAAGTTTCTTCTGGGGTGCAGAGAGCAGACACTCTCGATTCTTTGGATGGGTCAGCAAATACTCCATGTACAACAATGCTAGCTCATGTTTTACCGGGCACGTATCATTGATTTGCACTTTACATTTAGAGGACAAATTACTCTGAAGAAGAGCCGTGGAACAAAGAGGCAATTAGAGTTTATGTTTCCAGAACATGGTACAATTTCTAGATACCCTTGTTCCCCACATTCCAGAGAGGCATGGCTGTATACACACCTTGGTCTGATGTGGCCTTATTGTCAGCCAGTCAACAATGAGCTCCAGGACATGTCCCACTTGCCCCCAGGAACAGAGACAATCCAGCAAGGTACAGTAGCTCCTGCCTGTAACAGTCTCCTCCTGATTTCTCAGGACAGAAATCACACCACAACTGAAAAAGTCAAGTACAGAAAACCAGGTTAATATCTCTACAGAAAGCCCCCACTGTTCCACAACATAAGGAAAACCAAGACACAATTTGATTGCATCAAAAGGTGTACAGGTCTCAGTTATACTGGTACTTGCTACCCCATGAAACCCTTAACAGACTGCAGCTGCAGAAGGACAAGCCCCACATCTCAACAGCCTTCTGTTTGTAGTGCCAGCTGTCAGGTTCCAGAAGTGGTCATAATTTAGGGCATTTTCTCCCTTTTTCTTTTCATATAATACATTATATAATTTTTTTTGCAAAAGTCATATACATCACATTTTGCCCCCTTCCCCAATATCTCCCTGATCCTCCCCACTTTCATACCCACTCAACTGCACCTGCTTACTTTCTCTAAAAAGCAAACAAAAAACAAAGAAAGGAAACACACACACATTTAAAAAAAATAAAACCAAAAAATTAGAAACCCATTTAAATATCCAAGCAAAAGACAAAACCAAAACATGCCACAAAACAGTCATTTTGGAGGCTTCAAACTAGCCCAGTAGGTAAGAGTGCTTGCCATCGAGCATAATGACCTGAAACACACATACAAACAAAACACATGTAAAAACAAATTTTAAACAACAATTCTTTTGCAAGTAAATAAAACCAAGTAAGTGGCAAACTCTAGAACTACACTGCCCAATAAAAAATAATATGCAAGGGCTGGAGAGACGGCTCAGTGGCTAAACCATTTGTTACTCTTGTACAGGACTCAAGTTCAGTTCCAAGCACCAGGATGGCTCATAATCATCTGTAACTCCAATTCCAGGGATCCAACATCTTTTTCTGACCTCCATAGGCTCCTGCATACACACGATGCACATACATTCGGATACGCTGATACACACCACACATACACACACATGCAGACACATTTTTTGAAATAGTACATCAATATAGAAGCTCAGTGACCAAGGCATGATAACTAAATCCATTTGCTCACCAGCCTCATAAAAAGGCTATGTGTCAACTACATAAAATGTAAAGAGAATCAGAGAAACCTCTTGAAAACACGACTTTCACATGTACTCAGTATCCTGGCATTCTTCCTTTCACATGTATACTGTGTACTCACAGTACAGTCTAAGAACTTGGAGCCACCTGTGGTCAGCGATGACCACAGGCTCTAGAGCTTGCCACTCTGGATATTAGAATAATGCCCAGATATCAGGTGCAGACATAGTTGAGTCACAGTATCTCTTTAACAACTTCTCCTGGCAATTTCTCCATACAGAGGGGAAGACAGGAAGGGAGAGCACAGGGCAGGTGACAGCAAATCCCCGAGGACAGATTCTTGCGCTGTGGTAAAATACCTGAACACAGGGACAGCAGAGGCTGGCAGGAATGACATTAGCATGAACAAGGGGGTCTTGCAGCGCTCGTCCTAGAAACACAAAAAGAAACATATAGCCAAAAGGATTTCACAATAGAAAATGTTTCCTAATAATCTATTTCCACAGTTGTTCAAAAAGTACTCCAATAATTACTTTAATATCCAGAGAAATTCAAATCTAAAGGTGTGCCACAGGTTTGAGGATAAGATGACTTGAATCAAGCCTCCTGACATTTCTACACCACCTTCACTATGAAGCAAACACTAACTGCAGCAAGTTCAGTCAGAAACTATGTTTACTTCCAAATCAATTCAGATAAAAGGAAAAAACTAATTACTTGTCCTGAATATAGCTCTTAAGAGGACAAAGCTATTCAGATAATATTATACATGACGACCCAAACATTGTTATTAGAGGGAAAGCACATGTTTGGAACTACAAAATAAATCACCGGCTAATCAGATCTATACCTAAAAGCTGGTAAAATATGGAGCAAAGTGCCTGAATTCGGTCAGTTTCCTCCTCCTAAAATGCACAGTGCTATTAAAGACTGAATGAACCAAATCACAAGACAATGGGCGAGGGGAAGCATGAAGTGCACTAAGTGCAATAAACTACAGCTTAATTAGTCCTATTATTGCAACGATAAAGTAAGCTGAGCAGACTTTAATTACTCAGAATCCATCAAGAACACCACATCAAGGATGGGGAGATGGCTCGGTAGTTAAAGTCCTTGCCATTCAGTTTGAAGCCTGGAGCAATGATTCCCAGAACCCACATAAATTCTCATGGGTGTGGCAGCCTATCTTTATTTTAATTCCAGAGCTCAGAAAGTAGAGACAAGATCCCCAGGGCAAGCAGACTTGTGAACTAGCCATATTGATGAGTTTCTGAAAGTAAACATGAGTAGAGAAAAGGAACAAAATTAAAGTGAGTTTTTATGGCCACTTTGACCCCTAACTTCAGTATCTAAGTAAACATGTTGGCAAGACTACTAGTAATGAAATATTCTTGAAAATCCTCAACAGAGTACAACACATGATAAATATGTAGGTAATACATTGAGCTCAATTTAACCATTCCACAAGTTACACATACTCTAAAACATCACATTAAAAAGTATAAAAATCTTATCTGCCAACTAAAAATATATTTTTGTGTACAATTTACAAAGCAAACAGGGAGAATATCAAGGGTGGAAAGGTTTAATGTGAATGGGAATAGGAGGAGGAGGGAGAAGAGAAAATAAGGGGATGGTTAACTAAACCAAAGCCTTATAGAAACTTACTATTTTGTAAGCTAATTAAAAATGTTTCTTTTTAATGGTAATTGAATAGTGGTACTCTGCATGAGTAACTAGTACTACTCCTAGAAAACATGGGTTATTAAATGAAAATCCTAGTTCCAGGCATGGGATATCTGGATATCTAGTCAATATCCAGGGATGAGGCATAGCCAGGACTTCCAGTGGGAGAGACTGAGTAGGAGAAGGAATTCAGGTTTAAGGAAGAAATAAAAAGAGATGCCAGAGAGTCAGAAATGGAGAAAGCCGGAAAGTAGGATATACAGAATAGAAAGGTAAAAAGCCCTGAGGCAAAACACTGATGAATAAAAACAGGTTAAATTAAGTTAAAAGAGCTAGTGGAGTAAGCCTAAGCTAAGGCTGAGCATCCACAACTAATAATAAGTCTCCATGTCTTTATTTGGGAGCTGGTTAGAAGCCCAAAGAAAATTCCAATCACAGGTATTTAGAAATCAAAGTGCCTTCTAAATTTGTAGGCTCAGAAAGAAAAGCTAAGGGCTCACAGTGGACAATACCCTAGGTACCAAGGATACAGAGCAGAGGGAGAGATACTAATCTCATGACAAGGTAATCATAGATTGATGTTGGTTTCTATCTTGGTCAGAGAAGGCTATTTTTGAGGTAGGCATCAATCAATGCATAGATCATAACTGGGCAAAGTACTGAGACTGACTGTTCAGTATTCAACTCTAAATGAAGACATATCTATCAACTCCTTCCCCACCAACCCTCAGGGAACATCACAAAAGAATGAGCAGAAAAAAATGCAAGTGTAAAAGAATTGCAGAAATTGCTACATTTTATGGACATGACATAGCTGTAGCATCCACAGACTTAAAGAGGTTGTAATTAGCTGGACAAGATTGATCCCATCAACATTCCAGCATGGAATGAGCTCATGAGACCCCATTCCTAGCTGAGGAGCTATTAGCAGCTGGGTGAAAAGTCATCTTTCTTGTCCATGATCTATTAAATAAGCCCACATCCTTGCATATGCAAGCAAACAACCTAATTAAACTCAGGAGATAAAAAATTTTAAAAAGGTTTAAAGAGGTAAGAAAGGGCTCAGAGAGAGAGTGACAGGGGAATAAGAGAGGAGAATGAAATCAGTGAATAGCATCAAAACAAAGTAAGTATATAAAATTATCAAAGAATACATTCTAAAATATATTTTTAGTATAGTTATGTATTTAATATATTTATTATATATATTCAAGTTTTATTGTATGTGTACTTGCATCTTCTTCACTCTTCACCTTTTTATTGAGACAGAATCTTTTACAGAACCTAAAATTCACCAATTTAGTTAAGAGTGGCCGTAAATCCCAATCATCCTAGCTCAGTCTCCCCGTCAGTGGGATTAGAGATACACACTGCCATACCCCCACTTTATATGGGTGCTGTGAATCAAACTCAGGTACTCGTGACTATGCAGCAGGAACCTCATCAAATGAGCTATCTCCCCAGCACCTAAAAATATCTTTTCATTAAATTGATCTAACTTGTCTGCCTTGATAAAACAGATACAATTCATACTATAGAGTCTGCTTCCTGTGTACCTTCAAACACCTTGGGAAGTACCTACAAGATGGAATATTCTGTTTATAAAACAGAATCTCTTTCCTAAATCTGCAAGTAGATTAACATCAGACTAGATCTCCAACAGCAGAAAGAAAAGCTAAGGGCTCACAGTGGACAGTACCCTGGGTACCAAGGATACAGAGCAGAGGGAGAGATGCTAACCTCATGACAAGGTAAGGGCCACCACACCCTTCCTGGCGTGCATACAAGACAGAACTTCCACTAAAGACAAACTGATGCCAACACAAAGCACCTTACTTACAAGAATGGCCCAGACTTACCTTGAACACCTTCAGGTACTCTGGAAGCACAGATGCAAACTTGTTAATGGTATAAACTTTGGCCTCTTTATTATTTTCCAGACTTCTATGGATGCTCTTCCAGAGGATCACAATGACTTCTAGTAAACCTGCCATGGACGCAGTATCACTCACTGACAATGTTTTATCCAGTACCTAAGACACAAATAATGTTACTGTGAAAGAATCCGATAACAGGTGTTAAGAGACAAATGTACGATCTTCAAAAGCACATCTTAGAATTGCAGACACAAAACAATATAAAAATGATAATGTCAACTTCCATACAGTAAAACTTTCTTCACCACTTTTGAACATATCTCTTATCAGGAAGGTAGGTTTTTTTCCAAATTCCACCCAAGAAATCAATTCTAAATTAACTCAATATTCTTTAGTGAAACAGTCTGTATGAACTAAAATGTTTTTCTAAAATCAAAAACTAGCAGTCTTTATTACACTATAAGGTAACTGCTGAGCATGGCTATACAACACTGGCCTGCCCCAACACTGCTGAGACACTGCTGCTAACACTTCTTTTTTGAGGCCAGTAGGATACAACCCACAGATGCCAACAACCTTTAAAATCATAGGTTTCTATGACTTACTGAAAAACAAACCTGTTTATATTTTCCTATTGTGCCAGTAATACACAACAACCCCATACCAGAATGCTCAGTGCAAACCAGACATGCATACCCAAATCCTGGTCTCCAGACCTGGTGACTTGCACACCAGCCACTGACCATGGAGACACAGACACATGATGAATGAAGTAACTTCCTAACACTGAGATGAGGAGGATGACTCCGTCAGTTTTCACCATTCAAACGTGGAAACAAAACTGATTTTGATTAATAAGAATCAAAGAAGCAAACACAGTTTCTCCACAGTTAGTTATGTCAGCACGTACTAAATGCTTTGAAACATGGTAAGGTCAATCAGTTTGATAAAGCACCCTGTTAGTGGTCTGGATGCTACCAGAATAATGTGACAAACTGACAAAGCTGTCATTGTGGGTTTAGCCTTACCGTTTCTGTGCTCTAACTCTGAACAGAAGAGAAACTTTTTGGAGCACATTTACACTGAGCATTACAGCACATGATCACTGCGTACTACCAGCCTAAGAAATACTAGTACATTTATTTAAAGAGAAAAGAACAGAAGCTCAATATTTTAGCACAACAGTCTCATTAAAATTTATGAAACCCTTAAATAATGTAATGGGCTCTTAAGTAATGGTTCCTTATTTTATTTTAGCAGGCTAAGCTAAAATACTTTAACAATACTGAACTCTTAAGTAATAGTTACAAAACTTTAGCAGAGACTATTACTAAATGACCATAAGGTAGGTGTGTGTGTTTGTGTGTGTGTGTGTGTGTCTGTGTGTGTGTGTTTGAGACAGGGTCTCTCTACATAGTCCTGGCTGCCCTGGAACTCACTATGCAGACCAAGCTTGTCTTGAAATCACAGAGATCCATCTTCTGCCACCCAAGTGCATGGTGCCTTGAACCATGAAAAAACTTAGGCATGACAGTGTGTGCTTATAATCCCAGAACTCAGGAGGCATACAAAGGATTGTCACCAGTTCAAAGCCACATTGGAACTTCCAGGGCCACACAGTGAGACTATCTCAAAATCAAAACATTTTAGCTACATATGTATTCTAAGCCATTTTATTTTTTCTAACATGGGTTACAATGTTACAAGGCTGTGTATTCTGAACCCCTATCAACCTAGAAATAGAACTCATATAACAAACTGGGTATTTTGTACACCAAGTACAACAGAAATCATTGTTATTTCTTTTTTTTAATATCATAATTTATTTATTTTTTTAAATATTTATTTTATTTACTTATTATGTATACAATATTCTGTCTGTGTGTATGCTGCAGGCCGGAAGAGGGCAGCAGACCTCTTTACAGATGGTTGTGAGCCACCATGTGGTTGCCGGGAATTGAACTCAGGACCTTTGGAAGAGCAGGCAATGCTCTTAACCACTGAGCCATCTCTCCAGCCCCCAATCATTGTTATTTCTAATGATTCAAAACTTGACCTAAAAGATGCTGCAAGATTTCTCAGTAGTATCTAGCCACAAAGTTAAGGAAATTCTCAACTAGTACATTAACAAACTCATGTTCAGTTTTGCAAAGTCATTTTCAATCCCAGTTACAAGGGTATAGTGGCCTGCAGCAGGATGTTTGCCCACTTCTGTCAATGACAAACACCTCATGTGCCAGGCTGCTCACCTACTGATTAGAGCATAAAATCTACACGGTGGCCCAGCTAAGTCTCTCTAAGTCACACACACTACCTACAATGAAGGGAGTGTATGAAAAGGCAATGGTTAGCCAGGGTATGAATGTGAAATCAGTGTTCTATGTACTATTCCCCCTGCACCGCACGTCTACTTTCCTGTTAATTCTACTGACCAAGTTCACACCAGACTGGCCAAACAAGGGACAAAGAGAAAAGGACACCTACTCTAGAGTGGGGCTAGCTGCCTGTCAAGGTGCAATGGGGGAAAACACTGAGATAGCATGGCGCTGGCAGAGAAGCCATCCCACAGAAGAGGCAGTCTGAACATAATTGCCTACCCAGGTCACAGGGTTGACCTGGCCATGTAGTAAGCAAAGGAAAACTGGCTTTGTGATTTTCTTCTACAGGGCAGATTTGGGCACTACAAAAAAAAAGAAAAAAGAAAAATCCTTCAAATTTGACTTTAGATATTCAAATACTAAGTGTCCATATATAAGCTTAAAATACTGCTTGTAAGCAGTAAGTATATTTAAGACTGAACTGGCTATTATTTCTTTAAAACTGAAAGTTTTAAAGAAAGAAGAGCTAATTAAAGACAATTCTACAAAAAAAAAAAAAAATTTACATCCCGAAGTTCATCCCCAAATGTTTCTAGAGGCTCCTATCAGTGACTTTAACAAACACCAGCTCCATGTCCAGAATCTAGCTCAACTCTATTACACCGAAGGAATCAAACACTGAGATGCTCAGAGTAAAGAGATATGGAACAAGGTTGCTATCAGTAAGAATATTCTTTTTTAAAAATATCTCTCCAGACTCTAAAAGATACAATACAATTCTTTAAAAAATGTAATTATGACTCCTCAAAAACTGTACTTAAGTATCTTTATGGGAACAAATAGGAAATAACAACATCCTATCCATTGGTACAGAAATGAAATAAGACAAAGTCTGCTTGTCTTTACTGTAGAGTAAGAGAGCCACTCACGCTGGCGTTCTCCTTCTCGCACTCCTTATGGGCCTCCGGGCACTCTTGCAGCGTCCTCTGGATACAGGCATTCAAGCAGTGACGGATGACATGGATGAGCTTTGCTAAAGGGGTTAAGATAATCAACAAATACATGTATCTTCTATAAAATGAACTTTCTAATTAGAAAAGTATAATCTCAAACAGTAAAGCAAATTACTTTCAGGAAAATCACCAAGAGCTTACTCAAGTGACAAACACTGAGTATCTGTAACATGCACTATGCTGGAAAAGAGGCAGGACAGGACACGGGGAAGCAGAGATTCAGACCTATGTTGGTGCTGGCGGTGTGCTCGTGGGCATACTGATAGAACTTCCTGGCAGCTGCGCGATTCATCTGGATCAGTGTGACACAGCGCTCGCACCACACCTCCTCTGGCTGGTTCACGGGCAGAAAAGAGTTGAAGATGAGGCTCACCAGGCGCCGAGACACAGGCCGAGAATCCATTTCCAAGCGAACCAAAATGTCCTCCATGGGGCATATTTTCCAAAACTATGGTAAAAGTAGAGACATACAAAAGGAAATAATCAGTGGTTCCTATAACCTGGAAAACTGCTGAAGTTTCCAGAAAATAACTAAGAACTAATTTTTATATCAAGAAAAGTCATTTCAAGTAGCTGTATCAGAACCTGACTTTTCTGTCAACAAAAGTAGCAAGTCTGCATTTGAAAGAAATGTAACACGTCAGGTACGACATGAGGCCACTGAAAGGTCAACTCAGAGCTGATGCACGAATAATAGCTCTGGTTAACCAAGCTGATCGTTTCTACATTTGTAGATCCAATTGTTTTTAATCTGTTAATAGTTTTGAAATAGGCACCCCACTCATCTCTCTTAAGAGGCTCAAAGCATCCTTCCTAAACACGCTAGGAGTGCTGGACTGCTCTTTCTACCGTGAGCAATCCCCTTGCCCAACTCTGGAGTTCCCAAAATCATAAACTCTACAAGAGATAGAATTAATATTGGTTTGTTTTGGTTTTTGGTGGTTTGTTTTTTGTTTTCAGTCAGGGTCTCAAGCATCCTGGCCTGCCCCAGGATTTTGTAGTTGGAGATTACCTTAAAGGCTGATCATCTTGTCTTCACACCCTGAGTGTTAGGCATTAACCTTAATTAAAGGCAAAAACCACCTTTGCATATGCTACACAGGTGTTCAACCAACTAAGTTACAACCCTAACTCTAACACAGGCTTCTAACACCTGGGCATCTCCTCAATAGGGCCCATTCTGTCCTTACCTACCTACATAACTTATGTTATGCAGGCAATACATAAGTTCTTCATAAGTAATATATAATTTCTTACCAAGTGCTAAATATGTATTAATACATCAAATATTTCAATCCTTTAAAGTGTCACCAAGCCTTTAAATCAATCCCTGAGACCCATATGGTGGAAAGAAACAACTCCCACAAGTTCTCTTCTGACCTTCACAAGTACACTGTGCACACATGCCCCACCTGACACAAGAAATAGTATTTTAAAAATATGTAAAGGTGATTGCTTAGTGTCTTTCAAAGAAGAAACATGCAATGGTATTTCTAGAACCTTCTATGAGAAACACAAAATCAAGTTTCATAACAATGTAGCAAATACACTGGTTTTCAGACTGATTAAAACATAACTGTAAAGGTTCTCAGATTTCAATCAGTCTTTCTGCTGAGTGATCAATCACAATGTGCTTTTCGTATTTCAGTTTTCTCTAAGAATGTCCTATTTACCTTTGCAGCTCTCACGGCTTTGATTTTCAGCAACAAATCCACAAAAGCCACCCTCACTTTCTCTGAATTATCATGGAGACTATACCTGAGTGGTGGTAAAAGCTGTTCTAATAATGGGTGGCTCAGCTTGTTATCCAAAATAATTGGCAAACACTACAGAAAGAGAGATAGAGAGAAAAGCATTTCAAAATCAGAACACACCAATAAAACATCTTTAAGTAGGAGACATCTAAGATGATGGTGAGTCCTATTCTCGCCAGAAAATACCACCTTCATGAAAGTTCCACATCAAAGGCATGCTTTGGGGCTGGCTGAGATGGCTCAGCAAGACATTCCACAGAGGCAATGAGGACTTCTATCATGCCTGTAAACTATGCCAACCCAAAGACTAGTACTATTGAAAGTAGACATTTTATATAGAAAACACTTCTCTTCTTTCAAACAGGTCTTTAGGCAACTCAAGCAGACTCCAAACTCAGAAGCCTCCTGCCTCACTCTCCTGAATATTTCTGCTATTATAGATCTTGGCTAAACATTTGGCTAGCAAATACTTTAAATACGGATTTTAAAAGCTTAATTTGGAGACTGAAGAGATGGCTCAGCAATTAAAGACCTAAACTGAAACTGCAAAGGACTCAAGTTCAGTTTCCAGCAACCATGGTAGATGGCTCACAACTACTTTCAAGACCAGCTCCAGGGCATGGGTGAGCTGTCCCCAAGAACATGAGTGTAAGAGACCAAGCCCTACCCTTATCTACCACATGGTGGTGTGGGCAAGGGAGAAAAGCCCCCGTGCCCTTTGAGGTCTGTGTTAAGTGGAAGAGCTGCCCCTGAGGTCACTAAAGCAAGAGAACTGGCCTTGCCTCTCACCAGCTACAGCACTAGGCAACACAGTAGAGCTGGCTCTGGCAGGGTAGGTGTGAGCTAGCCAACAAGAGAGCAGGAGAATCAGCCTTGTCTCGTGCTGCTTACTACACAGGGTGAATTAGGAGAGGCAGTACTAGAGAGCTCACCCTGGTGTTGAGATAAAGGAGAGCTGGCAGACTGACAAACTCAGACCCAGGACCAGAGCTATAATTGGCCCATCCCATCAACCACCCCATCTATAATCTGCTGGAACACATGAAAGGACTGGCTCTGCAGACCCAAAGTTACAGGATCTCCATGACACGGAACAACAACAAAATAATCAAGAGGAGCCCCAGGGAGGGCCAATACTGCTGATGTAGCAAAAACCAGAGACCTCAAACAAGATCAATGACTCAATGCAATGAACACTTACAGTAACAAAATATGGATTAAAGGACTGTGGGACTCACTGTGCTACACTACAGCTCCCATAAGATTTTTCTTTTCGCTTTTCTTTTAAATTTTATCTTGTTTTATCTGGGAGGTGGAGGGAGAATTTACAAGGGTAGAGAGCAGATGGGAAGGGATGGGGAGAAGAGTGGGATGCATAATATGAAATCCACAAAGAATCAATAAAAAGTTAAATTGGAAAAAAAAAAAAGAAAAAGAAAAAAAAAAAAAAACAGCTCCAAAAGAATCCATTGCATCTGGTTACTCTAACAGACAACTCCTAAGTTTGAATCCCAGCATCTACATGAAAGCTGACAACCATCTGTAACTCTATTCTATGGAATCCAATCCAACACTCTCTTCTGGAACTATGAGCACCAGGTACACACACAGCATACAGCTAAAGCACCCATACACATTAATAGTTTTTTAATTTTAAAAACAAATAAAACTTTACCAAAAAAAGTTAAAGTTTTGGTCTAGAATTTCCACCACAGCTGGGCAATGGTGGCACATCTTTCAATCCCAGCAATCAGGAGGCAGAGACAGACAAACCTCTGTGAGTTTTAGTTAGTACAAGGATAGCCAGAACTACAACACAGAGAAACATTGTCTTGAAAAAACAAAAAGAGGAAGGAAGGAAGGAAGGAAGGAAGGAAGGAAGGAAGGAAGGAAGGAAGGAAATTACAACCAATAAATTACAATCAGTAACATTTTACCTACTGAGGAGCACAATATGTGATTTTCTATCATTTCCCCCCTTCTCTGTTTTCCTAAAAATCCCTGTAGTTCTACAAAAGTATTCTACAATAAAATGTTACATGTATACCTTTAAAAGTCCTACCTTAAAAACAGAACAACGGACATCAGCTGAGCTCGTATCAAATGCCAGCTCCCCTGTGACTTTCTTCAAGAGGTCAACGAGAATGGTAGGAGGCATCATTTCCCAGTATTTACACGTTATTTTACAAACACCAAGGATGCCTGTGGAACGGACCCTAGGATAAGGATCTTCTAAAAGGCTCTAGAAGTAGAAGAGGGAAAAAGGTTACAACTCTTAAATTATTGTTCTTGTTACATATTAGCACCCTGGGAAATTAAAACTTAGTAACAGACACTTAAGGTTGCAGAATACTGGTCATTCAATCTGTGTCCCTTGGTCCCCTCAAGGAGACTAGCTCCAGGATGCCTAATATGCAACCATTTAGTACATAAAGCAACACAGCATCAATCCATGCTTCCCATAAAAGGGTTACATGAGTATCTCTACTACACTGTTTACCGACTGACTAAAGACGTGAAATTAAATCTGCACATGTTCCATATGGTGTCACCGATGAAGACAATGAAAAGGTCAATGACCTGCCCAAAGTCACAAAGCTACCACGTTGGAGAGGTAGAGTCAACTGAAAGACTACTGGGAACAAGGCACGCATGACCATAATCCTGAACACCACATAAGGACACATTATGTAATGTTTCAAGAGTGACTAAAAAGAATGAAGGGATCTGTGGATCTGTGTTTCTTGGGACATAGGCAAAATGGGAATTCCTCCATAGACTGGCCCTACTGGCAAGTTACAGGTTAGCTACAAGGCATACAGGTTAGCAATGACTGTACACCACAGCAATACGTACATATAGTTCTTCAAACTGCTTCTGAATTTCACTGTCCATTTCAGTGGCAATGAAGTTTGGATCTCTAACAGGAAACGCTTCAACAAACAACAAGGCAGCATTTGATCGAACTTCAGAATTTCTGGCCTATAAAATAGGAGTATTTTTAGAAGTTGAGAGTTCAGTGCTCTCAAATTAATACTTGCACAATTTCAGTAGAGATTCATTTCCAAATTAAAGAAAGTTTAGGCGGGCTGATATGATGGCTCAGAGGACAAGGACATGTGCCCCTGAATTTGACAGCCTAAGTTCAATCCTAGGAACACACAGTATAGAGAAGTGACTCCTGCAGGCTGTACTCTAGTCTCCTCCACATAAGCGCCCTACCACCTATAAATAGATACATTGTGACCAATATATAAATGTGTGTGTGTGTGTCCAGATAATTTTAACCTTTAAATTGGAAAACTAGGCTGTGGGTACAACTTAGTGGAAAAGTACACACTTAATATGTATGGAGCCCTGGGCTCTACTCTTGGCATCACTAAAGTAAATGGCCAAACTTTGAAAAGTCATCCTTAAATTAAGCCAAGCTCTCAGTTCAATGCCAACAGATATTAAAGATCAGCTTCTCGTTGCATTAATTAAACTTTGCAATTTTTAGCCTAAGTAAAAGAAAAAAAAATAAAAGAGTGCCTGTATCCTTAAGAGACGGTTACTGCCTTCTAGTCGCACCAGACTTCTGTTTGTGTAAAACAGGGTGCTCAAGAAAACACTCACAGAATGTCTTTGCTGCTGCCCTCATCTCAGGCATGAGAGCATACGGCAGGTGGCACAGCTGCTACCTAGCCAGACTCACTGATGTCTGTGCACACCCCAGGCACCCATTTACTCAGTACTGACCTGATCCACCTTTGTAGTTAAGTGGGTCAAAGAAATGCTCTTCATAAAGGTTAAAAACTGAGAGCCAGGAATGGTGATACACACCTACATGGGGCTGAGGCAGGAGGATCACTTGAGCCCAGGTGGCTAAGATGGGAAACAGTGCAAAAACATAAGAAATTTCATTCTGCAATGCATAAAGCACCTTCTCCTGTCTTATTTTCACTGCCTTAGTAGGTTTCTGAATTAGCACAGGCTCAATTTGAAGCACATGTCACACTGGGAAACACTACACATTACCTTTAGTCCTCTCCACAGGATGGGCTTATATAACCTATACAGCATCTCTTCCACTCCCTGACGGACTTTCTGTTGGTGAAAGTAACTCAGCACCTAAAGGGAAAGAACGAGAGACAAAGCAGAAGCTATGGAGTTCTTTATAAAGCATTTGAGTCAGCTGCAGTGTTGTACCCTCAGCAGTCAGCTGCGGTGCTGTACCCTCAGGTGGCTTAGAGAGAATGGTGAGTTTGAAGTCATCAGCCTGGGCTACAAGAGTCTACTTCAAAATAAACAAAAATCTCCAGAATAAGAAGGAAAGGTTATTCTGCCCATCCCACCATTGTAACACTTGCAATATTCTCTGGCAAGGCCTACAACAGAGACAAGACAAATTACAAGTAGAAAAAAAATCATGGCAAAAGTAATAATCAACGGCCCTGAATTGTAATACCATCTAGGTTCTAATGTCTACAGTGATACATGGTAGTTGTCCCACTAATTGAGAGACAGACAGAAGAAACCAGAGCCCACCATCTCTAGGCCATTCAGGATAACTCAACAAGACCTCATCTCAAAAAACAAATAAATATAAAAATTAAATTCCTTTTTTTTTTTTTTTTAAGTTTTTCAAGACAGGATTTCTGTGTAGCCTTAGGCATCCTGGAACTCACTTTGTAGACCAGGTTAGCTTCAAACTCACGGAGATCTGCTTGCCTCTGCCTCTCAAGTGCTCAGGTTAAAGGTGTGTACCACCACCACTCCACCAAAAATTAAATTCTTACTAGGCTATCAACAGCCACATAACCTCCATGGAGCTCTAATTTTAAGTGTAAAATGGAAAAGGGGCGCATGAACAGGACTTTGCCTGATTTCTCGACTCAAATACTCATTTACCAGCTATTGGCTCTGATGCCCACCAGGGATAGGCACCAGCTACCTTAAGACTGCATACTGAACAGGCTTCTACACAACACTCTTTTTAGCACAAGCTTAACTGAGATACTACGTTCCTCCCAAAACTTATGATTATAATCAGAAAAAGACCATCTCCTTCTTCTTCTTCGATAGTCAGACCGCACAGGCTGTTGAATCTAGCAAAAATCAATTTTGCTTTACTACTGGAATCCATTCCTTCAGAAAATCTATTCGTGAAAACCTTCAGTGAACAACAGCATGATCATGGTTTTCTAATGGTGAGCTTCATTCTTTTTAAATTTTTGAAAATGTCTCATATTACACTTCTCAGGCTAGTTTCCAAGTCATGATCCTCCTAGTCAATGGAATTACAGACAGTACCACATCTGTTTATTTTTATAAGTCTCATTGGTAGTATAGTTTTCTTTTTTTGAGTACAATATCATCATGTTTTGGAATGGATGATGCTCTCACTTCACAGAAGGCTTTGAGCAGTTTAAAAGAGAAAATACAATTCACTTGCCACAAAGTTACTCTTAAAGCACACAGGCCCAGCTGGCTTAATGACAGCGTACCCTTTCTTTCCTCATCACAGAGTTGGCAGCAGAAACCAAGATACCAAATATCAGATTTCTGAGAAACTCCTTCGACTGGTGGGGTGAAATTATGAATTTTTAAATTTAACCAAAACAAATAGGAAGGTTGAAATTGGATCTTAATAACAATTCACTCACAGCTGGTGGGTCAGAGGTACCCCACTCACCTCTCGCACTTTGGAGTGCACTGGAGATCTCCTTGGAAGGTGGATGCCATGGAACATGAAGTCCTGGATGCAGGCATTTTCAATGGTCTGAAACAATAAGAGCAATGACAAGCATACATCCCACAGGCAGTGCACACTGGCAGGCAACCGTGGGATCCTCTCCTTCAGGAGAGAAAGCCTACACTATTGTGTCAGAGCTGTTACTATATATGTCCATGCCTCTCTGTATTCCTTCAGTAGAGTACACTTAGTTGCTTCTACTGGATCTAATGGACCAGTGTCTGAGCAATGTAGCAAGGCAAGCTTCCCACAATCATTAGAAGACAGCTCTCAACAAAGTACAGAGACTAGGAAAAAGGAGTGTACATAGGCCAGACAGAGACCTCAGAACAGTCATACTGACCTGGATGAACATCACAAGCTTGAACCTGTTTCAAGAACCTCTCTAGAAATGCAGTGGAACTCCAGAGACCAAAATGAGATTTGAGACTCTCTGACAAGTACTGGAGAAGAAGTGTGTGAGAAGCTCCTTGATAGCCCACAATGCTAATGAGCCTCAGGGTAAGACAAAGGAAAAGGCAGACCCAGAGGACTGTGTTACCCCACACTCCAGAGCACAAGGACTCTGTGGCATTAGGGAAGGACACAGGCATTACTATCAGTATCATCTTGGTGAGTCTGTGAATGTGGGATAACAGGCTATCTGACAAATGATGAGACAGAAGCTATGCCACATGTCCCAGAAGTTACACATGCCATGAAGACAAACTGGAACTCTCAGAATATGGCATCCCTTCTACAGGTACCTCCAACACATCGATGGCACAGACATAAAGAGGAGAGCAACAAGCAAAATCACAACGGCAACTTTCAGATCCTGAGAATAGGTCAGGAGGGATGTCTGCTCACCAACAATACTTTTGGATTAAGAGTAAGTTTTGAGAACACAGAATGAGAAAACAGACAATGGGGTAACAGACACCGACGGACTGAGAAATGGAAAGCTCCATTTTCCTAACATATACAGTAGGGTTGAAAGTATATGTCACAAACTCCTTAAAGTAACATAAGTGAAAGAGGCACCCGGGGGTCCTCAACAGCACCATCCATGAAAACGGAATCCAAACATAAAGGCAGCTTCACACTTTCAAGTAGCCAGAAAAACACAGAAAAAAAGAAACAAGTTAAATTATTTTTTTTTCTTTTGGTTTTTTTGTTTTTGTTTTTCGAGACAGGGTTTCTCTGTGGTTTTGGAGCCTGTCCTGGAACTAGCTCTTGTAGACCAGGCTGGTCTCGAACTCACAGAGATCTGCCTGCCTCTGCCTCCCGAGTGCTGGGATTAAAGGCGTAAATTAAATTATTTTAATATTACATGTTGTTTAGCCCAGTACACCCAACTTGCAACACATGTCCCTTTGACTGCGACACTCCAATAGCCTAATAACCAGAGGTAAGTGGAGAGTCTAGACCCAGAGACAACAGAATAAGGAACACAAGCCCCTGGACTTCACTGAAACTGCACATCCCAGTAAGGTGACAGCTGGGGCTATGCCTGTGTCAGCCTATCACATTTCTATCAAAATCACTAATCAGCTTGATTTTCAGATGGACTAGGCACAAGTTTTAAATAGACCACCCATAGATACTTGAGTAACTAAACTATAGCAGATATTAAATAAAATGAAAATACCTTCAATATTTTCCCTGAAGCCTTTTTCCAAGCTCTGAAGTAAATTTCTGCAATGTGTACCATCAAGGACCTATTAAAAAATGTTAATACATGTTTAAATAGTTATACTGTTACCATATAGCACACTTCAGTTACTCTCCTGCCTTAGGAAGAGGAAACAAATACAGGCTATGGCTCAGCAAATCTTCTGCAGTGTCACCTGCCTGAAGTGGAAAGAGGGATGACAGCAAGACTGGGAAAGGAAGCTGGGGTACAGACTCCTTCCGAGCCAAGGCTGCAGTGAGAATGCTACCACTGCCTGGGATGCAATGACAGCACAGGCTCAGAATTAAATTCTAAAGTCAAAAACTTCAAAGGTAGCAGAGCTGGTAAAGGTACTTGCTGCCAAGTCCAGATGCCAGTTGGTGGGAAGAGAGAAGTAACTCTCACACCCACACCCATACCCAAAAGATAAGATAAATAAGTAATCCATTAGAAATACTAATTCTTTACATACAGAAAGAGCTGCAATAGATTCAGCTTTAGAATCACCTAAGCATAAATATTTCACAAAGACGAGAAAGCAATCTAGAATACAGCAAGAGTTTCATACTAAGACTAGAATTAAATCCCAACTCAGAGCTTATAGCTACCTGACACTAAGGAATTTAGAAACTGAAGCCTACCTCAGATGTAGGAAATGACTTTTTAAAATGAACAGAGTCAACAAAGTACCTAAGTAATGCACACAGCTGCTTGGCAGTTCTGACTGCTGAGTATAGGAAGTGGTAGGCTTTTCTTATTTACACCGCAGGGCTCCTCACAGCAACCACACCGGTCAGCCCACACCCAATTAGGTGGTGTACTCTATATTCAAAATGCCCCCTGAATACTAACAAAATGAACTTTGCTGTGAATAAGACAAAGCTCTAACTGACCAAAGAACCAGCACTGCTTTCTGTTCCAGCTACTCCAGAGACGGAGGTAGCCCAGGGACTGGAGATCAACATGGGCAGCAAGCACACCATTGTGGTGAAAGAAAAGAGGGGAACTAAAAAAACTACAAGTTAAAATCTCACTACTGAAAAATAATTTACTAGAGGAAAACAACTATCTAAAAATACAGTAGTATATCATGAGATATAACTTCTAAAGCTTCTAATATTTTAATGTAAACAGGGTGGTTTATAAACGGCTACAAATAGGAAGCTGAGCAATAAGAATACTGTGTATTGAGAGGTCAGACTGGGCTACACAGCAAAGCCTTATAATACACACACACACACACACACACACACACACACCTTTTAAAATAAGTCAAGAGACTCAAAGTCAGAACTAAACCTGTAGTACTTACTTTTGTAATCCAGACAATTGATTTTTAATGGTCTCATGGATCATTTTAATAAAGTCTATATTCCAACTGAAAAGAAAACTAAGAAATCTTCTTCCCTGTAGATGAAAAAGAGGATAAACTGGGTATGGTGGCACATACTTGTAATCCTGCCTACATGGGAGGCTGAGACAAAATATGACAAGATCAAGGTCAGCCTGGCAACATAGACATCATCTCAAATAACAAAGCTGCAACTAAATGAAACTCTTTTAATAGCATATATTGTTTAGTCCATCCAAAGCCAGCTACTGATAGAAGCCCATGTCATTATCACGTGGCATGCACAGGGGTTGAAGTGGGAAGTGCTACAGGTGGCACGGCTAACGGCAGAGACCCATGGGTCACAGACATTCCCCCATCGGAAGAGCAGCAGCTGCATGACTGAGCACCTGTCTTCAAGGACCTCAGATACACAGCTACACCGACCTTCACATGAGTTCATAAAACTTTCCATCTCATTATGATGGGTAGTTTATACTGTAAAACCAAAGAATGCCTGAAATCTTTGTTTGACCCCACGTTAAACTTCTTTATTCTCACCAACTTCCAAACAATCCTGGAGATGAAAGTGCAACCCTAATGCTTGTCATCTTCCCAACAGCGATGTTACCACACACATCCTGTACAGTCCTGTGCTGCTGCCACTTCACTCAAGACACACCCGAAGTCTGACAGGGCACCTGCTGTTAGAGACAGACTTTCCTGGTGAAGCCAAAGAAATTAGTGCTAATCACATAAGCCCTATAGGCTAGTGACTGGAGACTTCCATGGGACCAGACTTTCTACTCAGGGTTAAAACCCTGAAGAAACCTTCTCTACTGCTCCAGGAGAAATGGCTGCAGAAACTGTTACTTTAGGACACACGCAACCCAAACACCCTGCACCCCAGCAAGGGTATAGTCCAAACTCAATAACCATTGCATAGTGACCTCACATAATAGAACTATTCCCCAGAAACCACAATAATGTAAGATTATGTTTATTTACATTTAAAAAAAAAAACTGGCAAGAATGGAAATTGAATCTAGGGCCTCATGTATGCTAGTCAAGATCTCTACCACTTAGTTATAGCCCCAGCTCCAAGAATATTTCATATGAAGGCATACTTACAAAATACCATTTACAGTAAATATATACTAAATATAAAAAAAAATTGTTAAGACACATTCTTTTTTTTTCATGCTACGTTCTCTAGTACATGTACAATTTACACTGAAAGCACATCTCAACTAGAATTGGCCATTTGAATTGAACTTGCTCAGTTCACTTACGGGATTGGCCCACAATGGGCAGTACAAGAGGCCAGAAGCCCCTCAATAGATTTCTTGAATGGTAGAAAAAGAAATGAAGACTACTGTGTGATGGCAATTTTTGTGTATTTGCCAATTAAACGTAATTATGGGGCTGGGGGAGGCTCAGCAGTAGAGCACTTACCTAGCATGCATGAGGCTCTGGGTTCAATTCACAGCATACACACACTCTCTCCACCTTCATACTGGGTACTGTTTGGTCAACTTGATACAAGCTAGAGTCATCTGAGAGGAGGGAACCTCGATCAAGAAAATGTATTCATAAGACATGGGTATTTTCTTGAATAATGAATGATGTGAGAGGGACCAGGCCATTGTGGGTGGTGCTACTCATAGACATGTGGCCCTGAATGGTTTAAGAAAGCAGGCAGTGGAGGCAGAGGCAGCTGGATGGACTCTGAGTTCAAGGCTAGCCTAATCTACAAAGTGATTGCCAGGACAGCCAGGCACTCATGAGACAGAGAAACCCTGTCTCGGGGAAAAAAAAGAAAAAAAAAAAGAAAAGAAAAGAAAGAAAAAGAAAAGAAAAGAAGAGAAAAGGAAAGGAAAGGAAAGGAAAGGAAAGGAAAGGAAAGGAAAGAAAAGAAAAGAAAAGAAAAGAAAAGAAAAGAAAAGAAAAGAAAAGAAAAGAAAAGAAAGCAAGCAGGCAGGTTGAGGGGGCTTGATGGTATAAACTTTAATCCCAGCACTTAGGAGCCAGAAGCAGGAGGATCTCTATGAGTCTGAGGCTAGCTTGGTCTACATAGAGGGTTCCAGGCCATCCAGAGCCACACAGTGAGATTAAAAAAGAAAGAAGACATTTCAAGCACAATATTAAAATAACAATAACCTATGCTTAAGGCCAGGATAGTCAGGGCTACAAAAGAGTTTAGAAACCCTGTCTCAAAGAATAAAAACAACAACAAAAATGACCACAGGCTGAGCAAACCATGGGAAGAAATCCAGTAAACAGAATTCGGCCTGGTCTCTGCTTTAGTTCCTGCCTCTAGATTCCTGCTTTGAGTTTCTGCCCTGCCTAGAAGAGTTTTAAGATGAAATAAGTCCTTTCCTCCTTGAGTTGCTTTTGGACATGGTATTTTATCACAGTTAACAGAAACTCTGTGGAAGTAGAAAAGAGAGTAGTAGATCTCAACCACAGGGATGGGCTTTCTCACACTTACATATGTGTACATACGCCTGTGCACAAAGTCTGGCCCCATGACAGTCTCCAAGGAGTAACCATCTTTTCACCATGAAATGTTCATATATTATATGTATATAATACTATATATTATACAATATGTGTGTGTAAAATACTCACCTTAATTTAAAATGTAACTGTGGTTCCTCCAGTTCTCTACAACCCACCTATTTTCATCCAATTTAATGACAGAAATAAGCCAGGGTCAGGGAAGCATGTGCCCCATCAGGGCCATCCAGTTAAACTGGTGTGGAGTTCTATTTTGGGGGTGGGATGCTTTCAAGACAGGATTTCTCTGTACAGCAGTCCTGGCTGATCTGGAACTTGTTTTGTAGACCAGGCTTAGTCTTGATGTCTCAGAGATCTGCCTGTCTGTCTCTGCTCCCCACGTGCGCCACCATGTCCAGTTTAGCACGCAGCTCTTAATGGCTATGCTGGCTTTTCCACAAAACAGCACAGTATAAGCGGCAGCCACGTGAACTTGAGAAAACAATCCATTAACAGCCCACCAACAAGCCAAAAAGAAAAAAAACCAGCTTACCTCTTCCTTCTTGATGTAATTAACGTTTATGAAGCACTCGAGCAGCATGTCTTTAATGTCTCTGTTTTCCTCCAAATCATAACCAAAGCAGTACAAGGCCTGATGGATGCGCCACAGCCGACACACGTCTGCCCCCTGAGGAGGACAGGAGGGAGCAATGCAGCAGTGTCTCGGTCTTTCTTTCTTTTATGAACAGTAAAGTTCTATTTCAAGCTAAATATATATTTTATATCATAAATAATGAAGATTATAAGATCATAAAAAAGTAGGACATAGTGACAACCTGAAAAAATTTTCAGATACGACCTCTATACATCTTTTTTTTTTTTTTTAAATTTTCGAGACAAGGTTTCTCCGTAGCTTTTTTGGTTCCTGTCCGGGAACTAGCTCTTCTAGACCAGGCTGGCCTTGAACTCACAGAGATCCACCTGCCTCTGCCTCCTGAGTGCTGGGATTAAAGGTGTGCGCCACCACCGCCCAGTTTCTATACATCCTTTTAAGAAACACTCCTAAACTGGGAAGCTACAGACCCACCCCTCACTGAGTGTCTCCTGAAGGAAGCAAACACACCGTCTTAGTCTCCAGACTTCTCCTCAGCAGCATGACAAACGCAGTCTTCCCCATGTCCTCCTTGGCAGGCAGGCCCTTTTCCCACCATTTGACACACAGATCCTGAATAGAGTTCTGGAGTTTTTGTTCAGATTCGGGTAGTGCATATAAAATACCTAAAACACAGCACAAAGATTTTCTGTTATTAAGCAAATTATACCAATTCAGACTCAAAAGTGCAGAGTATTATGACCTGGCCCAAGGCCTTGCTACACAAACACTAGTTTAATTTGCCAGATAATTAATATTTATGGATTGGATTCCAATACTTAGTTTTAAAAAAGACTTACAAGTGTTATAAAAAAAAAAAAAGGGTACAAACTGGGCAGTGGTGGCACACACCTTTAATCCCAGCACTTGAAAGGCAGAAGCAAGGGGGATCTCTGTGAGTTCAAGGCCAGCCTGATCTATAGAGAGACAGCCAAATCTGTTAACACAAAAAAGGTTCATCTTGATGTCGTTACAACACCACCACCATGAACATAGGTTCTGACCACCAGTTCACCACAATCTCAGTGTACTGGCCTCAGGTTTGAGCTCAAAGGCAGAAAACAATCAAAGCAAATACAATCAATAAAGAAAATACTGATTTTAAAAACAGAAAGGCTCAATAATTATATTGCTAGAAATATGTCCATAATTACCCACAAAAGCTAAATACCATCATACAAATATAAAGCTCCTAAAGTAGCTGGAAGTCCGGAAGCAACTACAATGATAGTATTCATTTTACCAGCTGTCTGGGGACTATCAATAAGCTGGTACTAAAATTCACAGAGTACTTGAAAACTAATGTTTATACTGACTGGGGTAACAAGATAATCAGAGAAAAGGATACTATCAACTTGGAAAGATGGTCAGAGGGCTCTAGGGAGAAAAAGCAGGGGGAAAACAATATAATTCTATTTAGATTAAAAACATACAAGCCGGGCAGTGGTGGCACACGCCTTTAATCCCAGCACTAGGGAGGCAGAGGCAGGCGGACGAGGCCAGCCTGGTCCAGAAGAGCTAGTTCCAGGACAGGAACCAAAAAGCTACAGAGAAACCCTGTCTCGAAAATCCAAAAATAAATAAACAAACAAACAAACATACTAAAAGCCTGAGGTGGTGGCCCAGGACTTTTAATCCCAGCGCTCAGAAGGCAGAGTCCCGCAGACTCTCTGTGAGTTTAAGGCCAACCTGGCCTACAAAGCCAGTTCCAGGACAGTCAGGGCTGTTGCATAGAGAAACCCTATCTGGGAAAAAACAAAAACAAAAAACAAACAAAAAAATTTAATATAAAAAGAAAAAGAAACTACTAATTTCAAGAAATCAGACTAAAGCAGCATCCTAAAAATATAAAGATAACCGTGACACTGAGACTGAGAATTTGATAGGAAAATCTGTCCCAGGAAACTATACTCAAGTGAGCAAAGTACTCAAAAAATAGTTCTTTGAAATTCTTAAAACTGCTGTTATGTTTATAAAATAATTTTATGTAAATATTTTATAACCAGGTTTTTCATTAAATCAAACTAGTGTACCCATTTAATAATCACAGGTATACAGGCAGTTAAAAGTTAACAAGAGCTATGAGAATCACCGATGACTCCAGAGACCATGGTCATCCTCTAGGAAACATTCAAAGACAGACTCCCAGGCTCTGACGCAAGAGCACAAACTGAGAAATCAGCAGTCAGATGTGCCCTTCAAGAGCACTAGTTATTATTAGTTCTAGGAGTCCTGAAGACCCCGCAAATGACCGCAGTCAGCAACTCAGAGCCCTCATCAGCAGAGCTAACTCAATTCCTCTGGGGGTCCTAAGAAAAGAGAACGTGAGTGCCAAGGCATGCCTTTAAAGTTCTGTTTCAGATTGCCACACGCTCGTGAAAACAGGTGACTTCTTAAAAGATGTCATGTGAGTGCCCGCTACTGAACATGCCACTTACCATTTAATATAACAGCACACTCCAGGAGGGCCCCATAGTTCTCATGTTCATTTATTACAGATACAGAAGCGAGAATTACAGATGTAATTGCATGTATTATTTCTACGCTCTTTTTCTATAAATAAAACACAAGTGAGATAAAATAAGAAACACCCAACTTAAAAAAAATTGAATAGCTAATAAATTTCTAAAATGAAACCACCTCTAGCTTATTGTAAAAATCAGATTAAAATTAAATGTAAGTCAAGAGTCCTAAAAGAATCATAACACTGTGTAGCAGCACAGCAATAACAGGGCTGGTCAGCATGTAAAATTACAATGAACAGAACTGGCATATAACACATTTATTTCTTAACTTGAAAGTTCAATTATTCAAATCTGGCACGATGACTGCAAGCCTTTAATCCCAGCACTGAGGAGGCTGAAGCAGGTCATCTCTGAGTTCAAGGCCAGCTGAGTAAGGTGCGAGTTCCAGGCTGGCCAGGACTACAAACAAAGATCAATAATTCAAATAAACAATCTTTTCTTAACAGACAGTAAGGAGGAACGTTTTTATTTCTAAAAGACAAGTACCATCTTAGGACTGGGCTCTGATTCCATTCCATCTTCACCCTGGTCTTCCACTGTCTGCCACCCATCCACCGGGCTTTCTAACAACGTTTCTGTCAGTAAGTCCTTCAGCCTTTGCCATAATTCCTCTTTCTGTTTCCTTGATAATTCGTCTAGTAATTCACTTAAACTGAAAGGTTCAGAAGAATCTTTCTGTAAAATAAATTTAAAAAAATACAAAATATGAAAATTAGTTGTACTCTTTTCATACTTGTATTAATAGAAAAGTTTAAGTATTAAATTAGTTACATGTTTAAGCATTTGGTTAGTTTTCAAATCCTTTTCAAATGGGGAAAAAGAACAGGATTACCAAACAGAAAGCATCAAATCTCTCCTCTGCCTCTTCTTCCTTAGAGCTTTAAAGTTTAAAATTTCACCACCCACTTAAAAACCCCTAAAATCAATTAAAATGTCAACACCCCACCTCAGTTGTCAAGTATAGAAGTATGATGGAGGTAACGATGGCAACAGGAACAGCAACAAACAAAGGCTCAGATTCCCTTCTTCCATGTCTTTGTCCACATCATCTGCTCCTCAGCCCTACACAGCAGTCTCTGCCTGAGCCACTGAGTCCCTAGCACCTCTGACTTCTATTCTCACCTGGCCAGACTGCCAGGTCACTCTGACACAGTAAGAACAAGCACTGTCAACAAAGTGCAAAACCCAATAAAAGGCCTTTCCAGCAGCTGCTCTGAGACAGCCCAAGTTCAAGTACAGTAATAATATAGCCTAGAGAATTAAACCAGCATCAGTGAGGCTATATGGCAAGTTAATAACAGATCATTCATTAATAACACAGGCATGCTACAGAGCACCAATGAATAAGTACTAAAGAAATACAGAGTTCACAAATGACAAATTTATGGTCACCATAGTAACAGACTATGGAAAAAAGTATTCACAGATACAAAAACCAACAGAAGTGTGCCAAGGAACAGGTCATCTACAGTTATGGGTTTCCTCAGGTTGCCCATGGTTACAACGGGAAAGCAGGAAGCTACTACTGAACACCCACTTACTCACCCAATGACCCCCATATAACAGGGCTGTCCTGAGAGGTTGACACTGCTAAGTGGCTCCTACTGAAGAGGAGACACTAGATCTGGCTGGACTGGCTAATAGAAAAAAGAATAAAAAAGAGCCACCAACACCTTCAAACCTTCAGTACTGTGACAAGTACAGGAAGGCAGAGATATTGTCTAGAATTCTGGGTTAAAGAGCATTTAAGAGATGTGACAGCTACAGGCACAGCCTGATGCTGAGCTGGATCCTGGAGCAGGAAAAGTGACTATAGCTCACCTACTTATGTTTCAACAATTGACACAACATAAATAGGTACTGAAAATAATTGTTAAAGTGTCATCTTGAGGTTCTTAATGCAGTTATGTACAGTGGAATTTTATTCAGTTGTACAGAAAAATGAAGTTTGAAGGAAAATTGATAGATCTACAGAATACTGTGTAAATGAAGGTGACCCAGACTCATCACAAATTGTCTGCTCTTTCTCATATGCAGATTTTAATTTTAATGCTTATATGTGTTATGTATATAAGTGGGTGTGAAAGTGGGTATAGGCTGCTAAACTCCATAAAAGACCATGAAAGGGCAGAAAGTGGTACTGGGGGTAAGAGAGAGCACCACAAAAATACACATGTGAACTGCAAGCAGAAAGGCAGACACTGAGGGTGGGAGCATATGGGAAGAGAGCAGAGGGAAAAGTGGAGAGGAAAATTAAAAGTTAATGTGAAAAATACCATAATGAATTGCAAGTTTAAATAAAACTTTCAAAAAAAGTACAGGGCTGGGGAGACCCAAGTTTGGATGCCATGAACTCATCTAAAAGGCTGAACGTGGCAGCCTGACTCTACGACAAGAGATGAGAGGATCTCTGGAAACTCTTGGGTTAGCTAATGAGATCGTCTCAAACAAGAGATGGAAGACATCTCAAGACCTGAGACCCCGTGTGGCCTCCACATGTGTACCCCATGTTAAACGGATACACTCAAGTATACACAAGAATTCTAGATGTAGTTAGTGGTTACCAATTGCTGTATCTTTATCCTAGAATCATTGTTTCAGAACCATTTAACACAGTTGTAGGCATGTGACTCCAACCCCACATATCGGGGTGCATTTTCTAAAACAAAGATACTTTCTTAAAAGTGTAATCATTAGCTTCATCCCTCCCTACACCCACTGCACTGCACTCTACGTACTAATACTCCACATGTCTGAGGCTGGTTTGTCTGCTTCTTCTCTTGTCTGCTCTCTTGGTGTTTTCCCTTCCCACACATGAATGGTAGCGACTGTGAAAGCTGGCCACTTACTTCTATCAACTCCTAATCTTTCTCAAGGAAAGCATCATCCTTACTACAGCATTTGTGTTTCTCAGAGACTTACTGTGTGCAACTATGTTCTATTAGATTCCTGTCTTTAGTGTATCATAGGCAAAATATTTTAGGATTGTGCTTCCAGTTCTGTTTTCCCCAATAATCTCTGTGGGCTATTTGAGACAACTCAGGCTGTCCTTGAACCCACTATGTAGCCTAACAAGCTTCAATGAATGGTCCTTCTGCCTCAGTGTTCTGAGTGCTATAACTGCTACTATGCACCAACAGTGCTTGTGAGTAATGCACATATCAGAAAACAGCAACTCACTCAGAGGGCGAGACCCCACCAACAGGCCTCAAACTGATACATCTTTCCCTTAGGTCCTATCAGGTTAAACTACTGAAATTGCCATTACAGAAAATGACATTTCATAACACTCAAGTTGATGAGACCAGGCAAGGCACAATTCTAACATAAAATAACATAAATTTATTTAGTTTTACAAGTTTTGTGGTGATTGGTCACATTAAGTTATTAAGTATAAACTAAAAAACACTAATAAATATTTCACTAAGATATCTGCTAGCTGCCAAGCAACACCGCTGAGACTTCGCATTAGCAGGCTGCTAGAATGAAGGGACTTCAGAAGCACACATCCTCAGTAGGTCACTAGTATACCCTTGTGTGTGTACATCTGTGCACTTGTGTCAAGACCAGAAGAGCTCACTGACTGCATAGAATGCTCCCTATCAAGCTCTAGGGAATCCTCCTGCCTCCACCTCCCAATGCAGGGACTATAGCACGCCACATGGGACCTGGCCTTTTACACAGGTCCTAGAATCCAAACTCAGATCTCATGCTTATATGGCAAGCACTTTATAACCTGACTCATCTCCCACTCTCCACTTGCCTTTTAGTATCATTAACTTACTTCACCATCAGCTCAGATCATTGTAATTTTAGTTCAACTATGACATACAACTTACAACCATAGCCTTCTGGGCATTAATTATGCATGAATTACACTTCTAACACAAAGCAGACACACTTCTACTACAACAGACATATACACAATTATAAATTATATCTTGGTCCTAAAACCACTATGGTATGTCCTGTGAGTTTATGCCGTCGTATAAGAACATGTTATAAGATCATTCGTCTTATGAAGAAAAACAATTTCATAAATGTTGCCAGGAATAAATCCACTATTAGGTTCTTCTCTAATTCTGTGCATTTTAATTGTCACTATATAATCTTAATTAAGATAGGTCAAGCAAATTGGCTCAGGGCTCCTAGCACAAAGGCCCAACTAGCACTCTGGTCCCCTCACTGTACCTGTACCACACACCATTATATTCAAATTGTGCTGTTATGTCTGCAGTTAAGGCTTCCCGCTTCCACCGCAAATCCAGCACCAGTGTTAAGCAGCACTACTGTCTCCAGCTACCTGGCTTGGTCCCTCAACCTGCTCTGCACAAGCAGGCAGACGAGCATTTCCATAAGGGAATCTTTCTTCCCTCTTCTTATTGTCTTCTTTCCTAGTTTCCCCTCTACTCTATGGTTCCTCTCCTGTCTACATGCTGGCTACTCTCCGCATAGTGAACAAACTCTGAACTTCCTAAAATTGCAAAGAGGGTTTCTGCAGTCATCTGGACGAAAGGTGTCCCCCATAGGCATGGGTATTTGAACATTTGGTCCCCAGTCGGTGGCACTGTTTGGGAAGGTTTAAGTGATACAGCTTTGATGGAGGTAATATATCACTAAGGTCAGACTTTGAGATTACATATCCTGACCCACTTCTAGTTTGCTTGGACAAGCTTGCAGTTGTGGCTGTAAGCTCTCAGCTCCCTGCTCCTGCTGGTACTCCCCCCCCACCATGATGGACTCTTACCCTCTGGAACCATAAACTAAAAGTGAGCTCGTTTATATGTTGGTTTGGGTCATGGAGCTCTACCACAGCAACAGAAAAGCAATATACAGCTTCCCATCTCTGCTGCCTTTTCCTCTGCATCTATGGCTGCACTCTGGCCCTGCTGACCCTCTTCAGGTTAAAACACAATCTGCCTTCTCCAGTTCTCAGGGGCTCAATTCAATGAGCTCTTTAGCTAATTCCTCTTTATATTCTACTTTTTACCTCAGCCCAAAAGTGGGTCCATTTAATTCTAAAGAATTTACTTATCTTTCTAAAAATAAACACTCACCTCCCCACACAAGAACTCAATGGGAGAACTGTATTTCACTTAGGAACATGATCTTAGAATGTTAATTTCCAGAGTCAAAATGACAGTAAAAATAAAACACAACTTACATCAAGTTGAACGAACTGCAGAAACTCCTCAACCAGTTCCTTTGAAACCGCTTGGACAAATGTCTCCCGTTTTTCCATGACAGATGAAACTGTCTCTAAGGGAGCCCGTTTTACAACCCTGGTAGGAAATACAATCAGACCAGAACTTAAACGTGCAAATTTTCCCATAAGAGTTAATTTGATATGAACATTCAAGATTGAGAAATGTGTATACATCTATATAAGATGATCTCTAACAACATTCTGACACAAACTTATAATAATCTGAAAAAATATTTACTGACGATGTCATCAACAAAATATCTATATCATTACATTGTGATAAAGAACAAGAAATCTAAACTGCCTCGGAAATCTTCTCTTTTAAATGCTGGCTTGGGAAGACCTGACTTGTGCAACAGGTTCAAGCTGAGCCCCACAGCTGAATTCTTCAGACTCCTAAAGTGCTGTTCCTCTGAGAAGATCCCAACCAACAAATCCTGTCTTGTTTTTCAAGTGAGAATGAGAACCACAACAACAGCACTGAGGTCACCTGGGAACTTGTTAGAGGGTACATTCGAGCCTTGCTTCAGCAGCCTCCTCTTCACCCCTACAGGATAATGAGAGCTCAAGGGACCTTGCTCATTCTCCTTCCTGCATGAGATCTCCCAGGAAAACACCTGCCCAAAACATATCATATAAACTTAACAGTAGTTACAGCAAGGGATAGAACATATTTGCAATAGGACCTTAAAATTCTTATTAAATTTAAAAATCTCCTATGCTTTACAAATACAGGAATATGGAAAATTACTAGCAGTAATTATGGAGACAGTGAATCACAGTGACAATGTATTCCTATTTTAAAGTGAATAAAAGGAGAAAATAGCCTCAGTTTGACAACTCCTCACAACAGTAAATCTAAATACTGCCACTTCGTTACACGATTCAAATGACTGAACTGTGAACCATAACTTTTTTTCTGATGAATAAAATGGAGAAAGGCTGAGGACCAGTTTCCTAATTCTGGTTACTGTTCTTGTTTACACAAGTGTATTTGGCAACTTAGTCTGCCAAATAATGTCTACGGCTGCTAGACTTAAAAAATGCTACGCCATTTTTTGTCTCTTATTAGTTCAGAGCCAAGACCCTTCCTAGATCAGCCCTAGGTGTAGTTTTGAGGTGCCCCCTATGTCATACCAAGTACAAGTCCAGTCGTCCGCTGTGAGCGTCAGGTCCTGGTCTGAGGTCCTCTCTGGAGTTCTCTCTAGTCAGCCTCGAGTCTTTTTCTGAGAGATCTCTCTAGTCATACCCAGGTCTCCTTCCGGGGTCCTCCCTCGTCCGCACCCCGGTCCTAGTCAGCCCGGGTTCAAGGCTGAGCTCCTCCCTGGTGAGCCCCTGTCCTGGTCTAGGGTCCTTCGTAGTCTGCCCGGGTCCTGCTCGGCCCTCCCGCAGCACCTCTCCCACTCCACAAGCGTTCGAGACCGATGGCGGCCGCGGACTAGAGACCCGGACTCGTCGCGTCGCCCAGCCGCGGCCGCCCGCCGCCAGACAACCCAGTCAACTCACCGCGCAGTGCTCACCTCACCAGGGACCCATCGTTTCCCGCGCTCGGACCAGATTCAAACGCACCCGCGCGCCGCCCTGACGCGCCCGCCCCCCTCCCCGTCACCACTTGCCGCTCTCACGAGAACGGACGCTATCCCGGCGGCGACCAGGCTCCGCCCCCGCTGGCCAAGCACCGCCTCCTGGCAAGACTTGAGCCGCACCCGGAGTCTCTTCGCGCCCTAGGACGCGCACGCGCAAGACCATGCTCCGCCTTTGTCCCGCGCACGCACGCACGCACGCGCACGCACGCACACACACACACACACACACGCGCGCGCACACACACACACACACACACACACACGTCCGTTAGAGTGCTGACGTTACTTGCTGTTTCTTGCCCGCTTCCTGGCAAAAGATAGTGAAGCAGACGAGGGGAGAGAGAGGAAGAAGAGAACAGGGGCAGAGGAAGGAAAGAGAGGAGTACTAGGACAGAGAGAGAAGGAAATAGATGACCGAGGAGGACGAAGGGGTGTTTTATCTAAAAGGTTGGAACAACCTGTGAGATATTTGCCCTCTCCCCTCCCCCACTAGATTCTAGAAGACAGACGCTGGGTCATTCTCTCCCCTACAGACACAACTCAAGCCCTAACACACTCCAGGTTGTAGACCAGTCTTCTATAAGATTGTCTGAAGTCACCTCTGTTCTTAAAACCTTACAGTGTGGCTAAAGAAAAAGGGCAGAGTTAAAATTGGACCTCATCGCAAATAACTATAAAACAGACTAGAATAGTTAAAATTGACTAAAATAATGCCTTTGACCATGACAATATCTTTAATACTGGACCAACTATGAAGTGCACAGCCTAAGAATTTATTTCTTTTGGAGTTGCATAGGTTAGACCATTACCTGACTCAGATTCAAACAGTGGGAAGCACACGACGGCTCTGCAGTCTGACTCAGGACTCACAGCAGCCCTCTCCAAAGAACACCAATGCTATCATATCGGTTCCTTAAAAAATACTCTCAGAAATATTTTCTGTCATACAAAATTTGGAAGCACGTGTAGTAGCATAAGCCTGTAATCCCATCACTCAGGAAGCTGAGGCAGGATGCTAGCTAGCTCCAAGCCAGCCTTGGACACATACAAAGAACTTATCTTAAAACTAGCGAGGAACCAATAGAGTCCTATTCAAAGTGAGGTTTTAAAGCCATGCTGGACAAAACCTTCCAGTGCCGGGTGGCTATGAAGAGTTCTTGCCCTTTAAGAGAGCCCAGGAATGAACAAGACCCTGCCAGTGATGAGTCATTGATTCTGAGAAAGGCTGAAAACTTGTGGCTAATTAGGAAGTGATCATAGAAACATTTCTTTCCCTTTGGTGGTTTAGTGCTATACTATTTGTGAGAGTAAATTTCATACAGATAACAGACCTTCAGAGTACAAGAATTAAGGAAAAGCAGAACTGAAAGCTTCAGGCGGGCCCTTTAACTGGACTCAACACCCTCTGCGGTTCCCTTGCTGACCTGAGAGCTGAGCTATGCTCTGTGAACCCCTCAGGATGGAAGTGCTGGACTGTGGGAAAGAAACAGAAGTGAGGAAGACTGAGTCTCCTGGATGTGGCCACCCACTTCTCAGTTGAGCAGAACAGGGAGAGGCGAAAGATCTAAGTGGTGAGGTTCAAATGTGACCTCAAGAATAAGTCCTGTTCGTTCCTCTTCCAGGTTGTAATCCCCTTATATCCCTGACCTTTCTAGAAAGGTACTGGAAGGAACATAGTGTTGAGGAGCGGAAGCCTGCCCCCCACACTCCAAGTCTGACAGCCTTCACAGTGCTACAGCCACAGGCTTCTGAGAGGTACTAGATGATAATCTTCACCACCACTATATTTCCTTGAAAGAAATGCACACGGTATATTCGTGTGGGGAAAATGCTTTCCTACCACTAGGACAACTTCATCTTTTTTCACCTGCACTGCTCTCCCGTTTATGCCATCAGAGAACTGCTGCTCCATATTTAAAGCCTCCTGAGACACACAAACACTGAATTTGGATCTTTATCATTGTCTCCCGTGGGAACTCTGGCTTGACACAGAGTGCTGGAGATGCAGCTCAGTTGGTAGAGTATTTGCCTAGAATCAGTGAAATCCTGGCACCACTCCATAGCATCAAATAAGTTGGAAGTGATGGGGCACGCCTTTAATCACAGCAGGGGAACTAGAAGCTCAAAGTCAACCTTGGCTACAAAGTTAGTTCTCTGCGGCTTGGATCCTTGAGACTGTCTTTAAAAAAACCTATCACTGGCTCGTTTTTCAATTTTTTGCTCCTTCCTAAGTGCTTTAGCAACTTAAAAACCTTATTTACATGATAGTCTCAATCATCCTGAGCCTCTTGGCTCACAAAGACTATACCACAGAATCTAGCCAAGCCACCAGTCTTGGGTTCCTCCTCAGTTAACTTCTCTCTTAACTCTTTTGTGAGACAGACCTATCCAGTCCAGTGAATATCAAACACAATCTCTGTAATGCCTAGCTTCCACCATGATGCCTGTCTTTCCTCTATTGTCTTCTGGTATCTGATATCATGAGGACCACAAACAATAAAACCGAGTGTCCAGAATGAATCAGTTCATTGGAGGCTGATTTATCTCATAGTACTTCAAATACGAGAACTTTTATCTCTAGGAGGAAAAAATGTTTATGTTACTGAATTTCTCTACATCCACAGCACTCAGACTGAGCCTGTATGTGTTGGAGGAGAGGGCCCGCTTGTTTGTCCCGGCTGCCCGGATAGCTTATACCCGAAATAACCACACATCTTCCTTCCTGGGAGCCAGCTGCCCTCATGGCCTGCTGTGGTCTCAGGACCCACGGGACCTGCAGCATTTTACTTAAACCATTACAACCTCCATATAAGGACTGACCACCCAGGAGGTAGAACCAATAAAGGGCCCTCTGACTAGTCCTTTTTACTCAGAGACACTGTGTGAGCACAGAGCCATGGCCTAACAAACCATAGAAGTCCCTCACCACAAACACTACTTTCCCTTTCTTCCTTGGTCCTTGTCTTCAAGCTCACGTGCTGACTCCCTCATGGCCTGAGAGCAACTGACATCTTGCAACTGCGGCCACTCTCGGGGACTGTCTGAAGGCTCTCTTGCTTTATGGGGACTCCCAACTACTCTTCCTAGTTGTGGAATGGTGGACTGCCTCTCCTAGTCTCTCTTCTCAACTAATCTGGCTATGTGACCACCAGTTAAGAGTCGTTAGGGTGGTCGTTGGTCTCTTAATTCATGGTTGAATCCCCTTTCCCTTTCAGGATTAGAGCGTTTTCCTCACACTGCGACTACTTTCACTAGCTTGACCCTGGAGCCAAGCGTGTGGGCCAAGATGTAGTTCCTGCTGCACAACTGTGTCTTATGGCTGCTTCCTCTTTGCTGCCCCTCCTCACATGCCCCTCCTGGGGTCCATCATGAATGATGCCCCTTCCCAAGCGGGGAAGCTTTTACCTGTTTACCCTTGCCCAGCTGCAGACATTTAACTAGAACTTGCGCTACATGTGGCGATTGGCCCCATTGGGAACTCTGAATAAGGCAGGCATAAACCCCAGAGGGGATGGGTGCCAGTGCACTTTGCCAGACAGATGTCACCCATTATTCCCCCTTTGGCATGCTTAAACATATATGTGTAATTATTGGCACCCATTCATCTTTTGTGTGTGCTTTGGCCCAAACAGGGGAGCAGGCCACACAAGCTATTAAGGTACTAAAGACAGCCATGTAGGTTATGAGGGAACCCCGGGCGATAAAAACTGACAGTGGTCCAGGATATGCCTCTCAAACCTTTAAGGACTTCTTACAGAGCTGGAAAATCAGACCCACAACAGGGATTCCCTATAATCCCCAAGGCCAGGTTATTTTGGAAAGAATAAACCACTCCCTAAAAGGAGATCTGGCCAAGGTCTCCTCAGAAAATAAAAAGGATCCTCACCAAGTCTTGGTGGAAGTCCTCTTTGAAAAAAGAATTTCTTGGCCTTTGATGAGGAGGGCCTTAGTTCTCCTATAAACACTTGTAGAGTGCGTGTCTGCTCTCTTTCCGGTTGCCGGATTCGGTTTCTGTTCTCCGTTCAAGCGGAGGATTCTGATTTGTGAGTTTACCACTAAATAAATAACCATCTATTTCTCTGTGATGAGCTAGTGTGGGATTTCTTAAGCGTCCTTCCACGTTTGGCGCCCACATGGACGGCCTAATGGCCAAGCCGGTCCACGGGGTCCACGGACCAGACAGTCTCCCCACCCAGCTTGCCTTGGCTTTTTTTTTTTTTTTTTTTTTTTTTTTTTTTAGAATCCCCACCACAGCAGAGTTTACTACGTGTGGCAACTTGGAAATTTCCCAAGCACACGTACAACTGCTGCATTCCCTGGAGCCGTTCCTTGCTGTGAGGTTCCTTGCTGTGTGGCGACTTCTACAGCTTCCCATTTCTGCTCCCTGCCCATGAGTTCTGGTTTTCTTGCTCCATGTATGGAATTGATTTAATTGCTTTTAATTTGTCAAGCAAAGCATATTTCTCAGTATTTAACCAGTACCAATGCAGAAAACTAAAGCGGCTCAGAAACTAATGCGGCCCAGAACCATTCCTGTCGCCACCAGTTGCATTGCTTCTGCTCGCAACTCTGTAACCATGACATCTGCAGGACAATAAAGATTACAGTTTACTGGATCACATAACAGGTAATTAATATATCAATATTGCAGAATACATTAATATTGCAACTTTTAGTAACTTTTTTGCTAATAGTATGGATTGTTTATGTGAGGCTTATATGGTTATAGGAAATACTTCAATTTATTGGGTATTGGGATGCAGTTTTCTTCTTCATATTCTGTCATTAAGAAAGAATATGGCACTTTTAGGAATGATACAATCTTTACAGACTAA